TTAAATTGGTATATACACATGGAAGAGGCGAAATTAGGCAGTTTGTCTTTTACTCCCGAACGCAGAAGGGGAATGGTTTCAAAGATACAGCGTAATTCAGCAGCAGGGGATGCTCTTTTTACCGCATTTCTAATGCGCTGTGTTAGTATCTCACTAGTGTTGTCTCCTAGGAACTGCATCTCCATTTGTTAAGTAACTGGTTCTTGGTTGCCTCGTTCCCAGAGTTTCTTATTGCTAGTTCTTTCCGGTCGGCTGGTCATTTGATCTTCAATATGGAGCCATAGAAGTGGGCAACTGTTGATGAAAGTCTACAGTAGGCTGTGACGCGCACACCAAGTTCCTCACCTATATAGATGGATTGACTGACTTAACATTGGTGCTGGTATGCTGAGGAGTTCAGTAGATTTCCAAGCTAATTTCAGAGGGATGTTACTGAGTGTGATAGAGGGGTGACATAGTTGATATAATTATTCAATAGTGATTCTGAAATTTGATGAAGTACAAAGCGGTTATTCAACAAAAGAAGTACGATGGTTCAGTGTCCAACTGACGAGGGTGAGGAAGATGAGAGAAGGTTAACTTACCAAAATATACAAAAAGAACATGTGAGAATAATGATAGCAAATTAATTACCATAAAAAATAGGTAATGTAACGACCAAATCTGACTCGTTATGGTCTAAACGCAGGAAACGGACTTTTACGTCCTAGTGTATAGCTGAAAAACATCTTTGAGGGATGTACAGTCATGAAACGCTTCAAAGACGCAAAAATGATAGTTATTCATCTTTAAATCTACGGTTCCATTCAACAGCAATGCCATCTGAATAAATTAAAATCACCTCAACAGTGACGTTTATGTAGCTATACTGGTTACATAATTTTCTAGTACAACAGAATTCCTGTAGAACAGATTAATGAACCTAAATTCAATCGAAAGGAGCACCTTAGAATCAAAACTGTACCCGTAAGAATCACAAATGGGAAGAAACAACACAATGATGGTACACTAGTAACTAGTGTGATGTGTCTAGTCGTTTTTATTTGGTGCAGACTGAATTCTATCAGCCATCATTCTAGGTAGGTTGCCATCACGGTGCACTGTGAACCGTTGATATTAGATGCTTGGAGGCAATCAGGTGGAAACCTAACCTGACCTAGGTTTTGCACTAGTTTGCACTCAGCAGTCAGCAAAGCAGGTGTATCTGCGACCTTGAAGGAACTCAAGTCCCCTTTTCGAGATTGGGACCCACGTCACCAGCCAGTGCTGCAGTCAGTCAGTGACGTTACCACTAAGCCAGCTTTTTGGGCTCGCGATTGACCTCCTGTAGGACTGTAATAGACACTTTGACTGCCTCCAACCACCTAACATCAACAAGTCAAAATGCACTCTGAATGCGAGGCACCTAGAATGGTGGCCACATTCCAAACCTGACTGATATAATTCAGTCTGCACCGAAGATATGACTAGAAACATCACACTAGTTACTAGTTTAAAATCAAAGCATCCACTACAGTCCTACAGGATGTCAGTCGGGAGCCCAAGTAGCTCCTCTGTGGTAACGTCTCTGACTGACTGCAGCACTAGCTGGTGACACGGGTTCGAATTTCGGAAAGGGGACATGAGTTCTTTCAAGTTTGCAGATACGCCTACCTTGCTAACTAACTTGTGGGTGTCAACAAGCACGAAACCTAGGTCAGGTAGGGCTTCCTTGCGATTTCCTCAAACTATCTAATGTCATCCATACAACATATAATCAATACAATCACACTCCCACAAGGAGAAACATTAAAATCAGAAATAAAACAGAGACGCAGACAAATGACAAGGATCAAGTCAGTATTTAAATATACAAATGTGAGAAGAATGACAAACATTCTAGACGGTTAAAAGGGATAATAATTGCAAAGTTCATTGAAATATCCAATTAAGTATAAGTATTATGATTAGATCGTTCATAGGAGGGATTATTCAAACAATTATTCCGTTACTGTATCGAACGACTAAGAAAGAGTTATAAAAAGTCAAGATTGACCAACCATTTTTATGCACACAGAGTTTATGGCTATTTTGACAAATCGCTGACGTCTCCTCCATACATTAGCGCTCACACCTAGCCCACCCCCTTCCCTGGCTACCATTCGGTCCTACTTTGTATAAACAATCTTAAAACACGACTCTTGTGGAGCTGACCAGATGCTCGAGAATTGAGCTAGCAACTGCCATGCATACCTGCCGCCTTCATGATCATGCCAGGTAATATCCAAAGATTAGTTCCAGAGCAGCAAGTGGATTTTTATTAATCCGATGCACTGATCATTTACCAAAATCGATCAGTAGTTCAACCGAAAATGGAAGTTTCCCTCAGCGACCTACGTACGTGGTTATTCAGGATCTTAGTTGTAGTATCACATTTCCTTTCGACATTTATAAACACGGGTTTCTTCGGCAGCGTTGAGAATTTTTCAAGTTTCTGTTCAACTTCCATGTTCTTCTCAAGAAATTTTGTGGGATTCCCATTTTCACCGGGAACCTGAAAAAATGGAAAATATAGGATTTAAGAGCTTTTGAAGATGACTTCGTACGTAGACTGAAAACTCTCTTCACCAAACCATTTTCTATTTTCTCCATAACTCTGTCGGTATTTTCGGTGTATTGTGTCCAACAATCTAATAATATTTCAGAATGAGCTGAGATCATCGTCACCTAACCTTATAATCTAACTGCGAATCACTATCAATGCAGATTAGATATGTAATATTGCTCAATTTCTAGTTCATTAATAAATACTCTAAAGAAATGAGCTCCCTGTAAAACAATCCAAACAGTTCCGAAGAAACCTGTCCATATCAACTTGCCGTTCAAAGGAGATGATGTACAGGAAGTAGTCAAACGAAGACTCGACAAAGCCATCAAGAGAACTTATTATGCTGCAAAACTTGTTTTCCTTAACACCACTAAGCGAGTGCTTCAACAATCTGGGAAAGACCAGTCGCCAATCCTCGACACTTCAAACTGCGTATATCAATTTGAGTGTGTTTGTGGAAGCAAATACATAGGTCGTACGGAAAGGAGATTGTCTACTCGCATGATGGAGCATTCACCAAAATGGTTGAAAACAGCTGAGTTCAAAGTGCCAAAATCCTCAATAACAAAGCATCTTGTGGATTACGGGCATGATATCGACGCAGTCAAGTCATTCACCATTGTCAGCAGACAAAGAAACAAGATGCTTGCAGTTGCAGAGGCTTGTGCAATTCGAGTTTACAAACCAGGTCTCTGTGTACAAAAGGAGATGGTCGTGACTCTGAATCTACCATAGTAATACGTTTTACGTATAATTCTACCTCTTATTATTATTATTTTATTATTACTATTATTATTCTCATTATTCTTGATTCATTTAAAACTATCCTTTATCAGTAGCATTATCTTAACTCACTTCAACACTATTATTATCATTATTATAACTATCACTATTGACATCACTCTGTTTGAAATTCTTGTTATATTCTCTAATGTCTAATTGTTTATCTAAGTGATGTAACTGAAGCGTAATGCATTTTATCTTAATTTTGATCTCTCATACTCTCTCTCCCCTTATCTATTTGAACATGACCAAAAGAAAACATTCGAACCTGTCTTTCTGCATGACTAATTCAATGTAGTTTATTTACTTATCAGTCCTATATCTCCCAATGTAATTTCAAAAGTATATATCCGTATATGTAGAGTATTCAGCTGACGAGTTCTACTGAAATTTGATGAATTCATTAAATCCTGCTTTATTAACCTTTATTGCTTGTTCTAGTGATGAGTTCACCCATCTGATACATTCCCATGAGGAAATAAATCATCATCGGTTCAAATAGCTGAGTTGTAGTACCTCTAACCGCCGCACAATGAGTGACGTGGTCACTAGTTTCAGAAGGTGACATCAATTTTTCCAAGATTATAGATATGCTTTGCTAATGAATGGTAATGGGCACAAAAGCCATATGCTAGGCTTCCTGACGATTGCTTCCAATCATCCGGTGCATATAACAAGCGTGAAGATGTAGCTTATTGGTTTAGGCACTTGTCTTCTAGCCCATAGGTTGTGGGTTCAAGTACCACCTGACATAATTATCACGAATTTCGCTTGTTATTATTATAATTATTACTCATGTGCCTGGATAATTACAGGACTGCCGGAACGCTTAACAACACTTCATAAATTGGTATTGTCTCATTTTATTACTTTTTCTTTCGAGTGGGACACAGGGCTTGAAGCTTCAGCATTGAAGTTTCATTACCAGCTATTTTACTTTTTATAGGGTGGGGTTGCTAGCTGCATGCGCAACCTTCCTTCTTTACTGGGTTGACTGCTGACTAAGCGTGGTTAAGGAGTGCGTCCGCAGGGGATCCAACCCTAAAATGCACACATGGTTGGTGAGTACTCTACCAGTGAACTACCGGCGCACAAATAAGGTTACGTAATCTAATGCTGGTTGACTGATGGTGACTAGCAGTGGAACCGTGGATGCGTATTCCAACCTATTCGAGACTAGTCATCTGGATTTGCCAACATTCCCCACTGAATGAAGGTGTCCACACTGAGACTCGAACCCAGTATCGATTGTTTCAAACGCCAACGCATACTCCAATAGGTCACTTGAGGCATGAGATCCACTCCTTGTGAAACAGACATCAATTATTACTTGTTACTAGGTTGACTTTTTTGGGCCAACATTGTCGAGGCTTCCGTTCTAGGAGCTGGCTTGTCAACAGAAACTGACAAGCATCTCAATCTAACATCATCAACTTACAGGAAACGGAAAAATTAGCCTAAAATAGGTGCACAATCATACTCTAAGCAGATTCTAAGTTATTAGTGTATTCTCTCATTACTTGCATTGATGAAAAGGACAGTTTGTATATTGCCTAAACTCATAATACTATAAGCAATGATATTCTTGACTGAAGTAATTCCCAAGGATTTTTTATAATTTATCCTTAAGGTCAACTGACGGATAGTAATCTTTATGCAACAGTCCAACGTCCACCGACTACTATACCCAGTTCATTGGTCGCAGGTTTACAACGTGTCATCTTACAACAACAACAGCAACAACAACAGCAACTCCACATTCCTCAAACACAACCGTCAATGTTACCCGGCGTTGTATATCCACAGGTAGGCTATACTCATTTAAAGTTCCATTTAATTTATTTTCCAATCTAAATACATTTCAAACTTGAAGATGGATTAGTGTCAGTTAGAAAGTCATTGAAAGTCAGCAGGAAGTACTGGGTAGTCGTTTCGTCCTTGTTTGGCACTCTTCATCAGTACACATCTATGGTCCCACCGGATCTCGAACCTAGAACCTTCAGGTTACATGTTGGGAGCAGTGACCAGTCAGCCACTGAGACCTGATCCAGTGGCTCATAGTTCCCTCTAATTCTCCAAGCTAGACCCTCTGCTGATCAGTCTTATCAGAAGGAGCCGAAAAACTATTTGACAGTCTAATTCTGTCTAGTGAGCATTATCAGCTATATTACATCTACCTATGTGGGGAATTGGTTTGCAGAAAGTTAGCTCTACAAATCTCATATCCCAACATACTCTTGAGTAGTCTGTAGCTGGAGTCAAGATCTTCATATTGGATAAAACTTTAAACTGACTTCTTAGAAGATAGTGAGTGACCAGCTTCAAGCGGCTGAAATTTCGGCTCTGTGGTCACGTGAAATTATTGCCCTTTCTGCACAAGTATTACAGTTTAGTTAAGTGAGGATCATGAGTTGATGCGACTGATTTCTGCACAGTCGGATTAATCAGTATAATCAAAGACGCTATATGAAGTAGATTTACGTCTGGTAATTTTGAAGCTCAGTTTACTCCCGATTTAATTTAAAAATCTTAATACTGTTAAGAATCATCATATTCCTACCTATTCGATGAATATTAACATACCATCGGACCTTAATATCATAGACTCGACCTTCGCCTGAGTAACTGGTGTACACCTTAAACTGTGTAAAAATCGCAAATTATGAATTTGATGCAAAATATATTACCAGTTAGCCTAAATGGCTAGCTAGCTAGAATTCGAATGGTTCCAACTGGATCCCCATCCTGAGCTGAATCGAAATGAGTGTACTACAGATGAGCTTGGTGCCAAGCAAGACGAAAAGTCGTCTCGTGTTCAGATCACTTCGATCTGGCTAGCTGACAAGCACTACTGGCTGCTCTGAGTTATTATTATATTATAATTATTCCCTTGGGTTCCAAGTGGAAGATAGGGCTTCAGTAACACATCTCCACTTTCTTCTTCTATTTTCTGCTGTGCTCTTCAGCTGGCTAGCTCCACAATTACCCGTAATCTCTCATGTCCTCCTTCCCACATGATCTCCTCCATGCCCCCCTCACACTGACGACCCACTCGTCGCTTCCCACTAGGATTCCACTCGAACACTGGCCTGCATTGCTCACGATGTCATTCGATGGCCTCCTCAACGTATGCTCAACCCATCTCCATTTTCTCCTACATATTTGTTGAGTGATTGGCTCGTGGTTGGTTTGTTCACAGACAGAGTTTCTTGTTGCTAATTCTTTCTACTGGCTGGCTGACCGGCCACTTGATCTTCAATATGAAGCCAGTGAAGGCAAGTTTCTGCACCGTGTAGAAGAAATGACTGACTGATTTCACATTTTTGTTGAACAGAATCCAAATCTTGTTGTTCATGTTGAGTGAGAGCAGAAGAATTCTCAACTAGTTTCAGGTTGATTAAGGCATATCTGGCCTTTCCGATTCTCGCTGGTCTGCTTTGACATCTTCATCTGTGGTATCCACATGTGGCTGTAATCGTGCTTCCTAGATAAGTGATGGAAGTAATGGTTTCCCCCCTTGTCGCCGTCTTCTCTATGATACACTGAAGTCCTGTCTTTGCTGCCTGCTTCGCCTCTTCTGCCAGTTTGTTTATGTGACATCAAACATGAATCAGATCTTCTAGAGTCTGATCTGAGTGATGTCCAACTATTCATCTCAGCCAATCAGCATCGATGCATTTATGCTTACTCTCTTGATCTCGATTTCTGCATATTTTGCTCCGAATATTTTCAGGTTTCAAAAGAAACTGTGCTGACATTTCACTTCAAACTGTATAAATTTCCAAACCGTTAATTAATTTGTGAATTTAATTTAAACAACTTATAAATTTAATCTTTTTGTGATAACAATTCCACCTTTCCTCCCCGCCCCCACCCCACACAGCTTTCAACCATCCAACCTCAACCGCTGACAACACTAAGTCTTTCTGGTCTATCATCAACATCAGCGTTCAGTAATCTTGCAAGAGCTTTACTCCCCACATCAGTTGCTTATAATGCTAGTGGTGATCCCTTGACTGGATTATCTGGTGCTCCACTGTTAACAGCTCCCCCCAGCCTTATGCCAAGTTCTAGTCTACTACCTGGTCTTCGACCACCGCTATTTGCTCAACCACAGCAACAGCAACAACAGCCACCAGTACACTTGCAACAGAATCTTCCCATCCCACCGACGGATCATTCTTATCTAGCTCAACAGACAAGATTAGGCGGTCCTACAAATGCTGGTAAGTTAACTGACTCTGGTTTTATTTTCCATCCCTCTGAGTTTTAAAGTGCCAGTGGAGGTTGTTATACAATTATGCATTCCATAGAATTCATGTCTTGTAGAGACTCTTCATACGCACCTACTGTTGCGAATTAGTAGGGAGGTAAAAGGAACATAAATGAAATGAAATTATTGCCACTCACTGAATTAGATGCACTGTTACCCTAAGAATAATGTTAGATGGTAGGAGAATATCGGCAGCAAGCCATGGACCTAGGTCTCGTGCTTTTTGTCACTAGTGTGAAGGATACGATGTCTCCTCTCTGACTTTCCAAGTCGTGTTCCCAGGTGTCCTACAATCAGACACGTTGTCAGGAATAAAAGTGGCTGTCATTCAAACCAACCACAAACTCAATTAGAAACAAGCTTTGTCGGTTAAAGGATCAATCCTGTGGAGCCTTTAAAACAAAACAATTTAGTTTATCTAATACCCTACTGGAATGACTGTCAGGTCAAATACATAGGTCAAACTAGTAGAACAGGGGCAGTCAGACTAACTGAACATAAAAACCTAGCAAAATGTAGATTGAAAGTCAGTCTGAACGAAGAATATTCCTTTCAATAATTTCTCTTCAGGTTCTTACAATTATAAGATATAATATTTGTTGTCGTTACAATAAAGGCCAGTTATGCGGCAGATACATTTTTAACGTAGAATAACAGATTGGCAGTTATGCGGTGTCAAAATAAATAGTCATATTTGTGTGACAAACGTGCCCTGGGCTGAAATCGATTACAAAATATTGTAAAACGGGAGACAATGGTGGTGATTAGTCATAATAGATTTGTAGAGTGTGGGGTAGGAAAATTGACAAGTCAGCTCAAGGTTATAAAAGGTGTCAGATGAGTGGCTAGTACAAATTGGTCTGTGTTAAACAGGAGATAGTAAGACTACAATAAGAGAGGTTCATAATGAAATAACGAATATGTGAAATGAAACAGGTGGAGGCATATATTGAGAAATGGGATAATATCACTAATAATAAGTCCGGATAGTATAAATGGAAAATTCGATAGTATTGAGAGAATGTTTGCATGAAGAGCATAAATTATGACGAATAATATTAATAATAATAATTGTAATAATAAGCAAAGGAAAAAAAGCCAAGAGGGTTAAGGGGAAGGAGCACTCTTGGTGAGAAGAAGAATAATCAATCCAAGTTTGGCCACGGTACGAACAGCGTCTGGACGTGTTCTTCAGATTGGTTGACCCGAACAAGATAAGAAATTTGTAGAATAGTTCAGCTATAGCACTACATTCAGTTACACACAACCACACAATAGGATGGGATGGGATAGGATGACAGTTTTAAAATGTAATGTTACAGGGTGGAGGGAGAGATCGATAAAAGAAGCTTTGTTTATCGAATCAACTGCAAATACATGTAATAGGAATGATTCAACACCTGCCCACCCAGATATCTGGAAACTTCTACTACCCCAACGACGACAAAGAGGAGAAGACAAAGAAAACTATAAAACTCAAGTTTCGAAGTTGTGTGATTATAACTGATATGATTATGAACAATACATTTTTGTTCGAAACGTCATCCAGTAAATAATACTGTTTCACTAATCACATTATGTAGAACTATAGTGTATAGGTGTGCATCGGTGGCATAGCGGTTGGACGCTCGCCAACCATGCACATGGTCCGAGGTTCGATCCCCGGCCGACGAACTCCTTTACCTCGCTAAGCCAGAAATAATGCTGGTGAAGAGGGAAGGTTGGACATGAGGCTAGCAACCCCATCCTGTAAAATTAACACTGCTACAGCAACTTCAAGCCACTAGCATGAAGCCCTATGTTCCATTGGGAACGTGAAGGAATAAAAAAATAGTGTATAGGTTGATCGTTGCTTAGAGAAAAGTCAGTGTCATGTCACCAGTTCTTGGTACTGATGATAACTTGACTTACAGAATGTATCATATTTGCACTCGTGTTAAATTATTTTAAAAAATTGACACATGTAATTTCTTAATCGTCACTTTTTTTCATAAGGATTAGTTGGTGATTTAACACAACCAGAAATGTTGAACGATCCAGCATGGAATGCTGAACAACGACGTAGAATCGATTTGCAAAGAACACGTTTCTTGTTGAATGAACAAGAAAGAAAATTATTTGAAGAGCTAAAAAATATACGAAATCGTCGTGCTGGTCTTTCAAGATTAGAACAATTGGGACGTCTTGGCGCCAGTACATCTTCTAATGTTACACCGTTAGAAAGTTATCGTCGTGCAACTGGACGAATATCAACAAGTGAAGACGCCAGATTCCGAAGTCGTAATCGACCGTTGTATGCGATAGGCAGATCAGGATCAGGTTAGTTATTGTATATGAACATCACTAGATCCAAAGTTTGATTCTACTTGATTTATTCCTTTACGTTTCCAGTGGAACATAGAGCACCTTCAAGCTAGAGGCTTGAAGTTTCGGGAGCAGTGGTGTTTATTTTGATGGGATGGGGTTGCTAGCCTCATGCCCAACCTTCCATCTTTACCCGTCTTATTACTGCCTTAGCGAGGTAAGAGAGCAGTGTGTCAGCCGGGGATTGAATCCCAGACCACATGCATGGTCGGCGAGCATTCTACCGCTATGCCACGGTTGGTTTAATTGCACAGCTTTAATTATCATTCTTAACAATAACTTAAGCGATGAATTCAACACAGAGTGAGCTCTAAGAATTCTCCTTGGATCAAGTGGAGGGTCCGTATCAATACAAGTAAATACAGTCACAATGTAATCTCCGTAGATGCCAAATCACAGTCAAGTTAACCAGGAAAGGCAGATACTTTGCCCACGCAGGAATCCAAAAGGTCCTTTCAAATTTTAGTTAGTACTGAAGATGTTGTTAGGAAAGGCACTGAAAGCTGTGCAATTAAGTCAACCATCCAGCTCAGAGAATACAGCAACTCCAAAAAAATAGACGATGTTTGCATTTAGTACTGTTCTCTGAGCTGGTTGGTTTAGCTGCGGAGCTCTCGTCGTCCCCCTACTGGACAACATCCTCTCTCAGCGCAATTTTTAACATAAAGTGAACTGATTTAAATTGTCCATGAGTGATAGAATCGCGTCTCCTGGTAACCATCTTTACATATGTAGTGATCATTTTCTATTGGCTTGGATTTTAAACTTTCTGGTCACACGATTTACTTTTTATTAGTTGGTAGATTTGGTCTATATTAACATGCTTGTTAATCACTGGGTGATTCGTTTGAGTACCATGCTTCTAGGAATTTCCTGTCAGCATTTTTGGTGTTTCCTCTATTTAAACTTTCTGTCTTATCCCAATCAAATTCATGTCCATAATTATCTACATGTATTGATATGAAAGAATATATATCGAGTCTTTTTACAGCTAATTTCTGTTCCTGCATTCTGATTCGAAGGAGATGCCCACTTTGGCCAATGTAATGTCTGTCACAGTTCATACAATTTATTTTGTAAATGGCTTTAATTTTATCTCCTTTTTCTGTTGGATCTTTCGGTTTGTACAACATCGACTAAATATACCAACTAATAAAAAGTAAATCACGTGACCAGGAAGTTTAAAATCTAAGTCAGTAGAAAATTTTTTTTATTCCTTCACGTTCCTAGTGGAACATAGGGCTTCAAGCTAGTGGCTTGAAGTTTCTGTAGCAGTGTTTATTTTACAGGATGAGGTTGCTAGCCTCATGTCCAACCTTTCCTCTTTACCAGCTTTTTTTATTACTGGAGTGCGTCAACCGGGAACCCCATACCATGTGCGTGGTCGGAGAGCGTCCTAACCGCTGTGCCACCGACGGACACAATTGAAATGATCGCTACATATGTAAAGATGGTTACCAGGAGACGCGATTCTATCACTCATAGACAATTTAAATCAGTTCACTTTATGCTAAAAATTGTGCCGAAGACGTTGTCCAGTAGGGGGACGACGAAAGCTCCGCAGCTGAACCAACCAGTTCAGAGAACACTCCTAATTGCCAATCATCCACCTGAGCTACAAACCTACTCTATTATTTCAATAGACGATATTGTTGTATCTGTCATTTTCATAACTTATCCTCAGAGAAATCAGAAATATGATGTTCATTTGATCACAGTGATACTGATGCTCCCTTTTTGATCTATGGCAGTTTTATCAAATTCTTGTCATTTCTGTCATATAGTTTTTTAGGTCGAAAATATACAAGTTGTGGAGAAGAATTGTAACTGAGGTGGACGATATTGATTTAGTTGTGTTCCCCGAGGAGCTGGTCGATTATTTAATTGTGAAGCTTTCATCGTCCCGCTTCTAGACAAGCTTACTTCAGCGCAGGTTTTAGTATAAAATGGACTTATTTAAATTCTCTATGAATGATTTAATTGTGTCTCCTGGCAACCATGCTTCTATTGATCATTTTTATTGACCGAACACGCAACTGTACTAGTAATAATCCGATCACTCACAAAAGAAACTGTGTGCAGACACTGTTTAGAAGAGTTGAAACACACTATAGCACTACTCCAGTGTTGAAGAGAATGGAGGGAAAATACCTACTAACCGTCTTCAAAAAGAATGGATATCCAAACAATTTCATCAAAAAGTATTTAAACTATAGTCATAACACCAGCAACAAGCCAACATCAGAGACCAAAAGAAAATTTGTTCCACCATATATAAAAAATATCTCTGAAATAACAACTTTAATACTAAGGCCGTTTGAAATAGATATAGCACACAAGTCAGCCAGCCATTCGACACAATCACTTCATTCGATACTGTACAAACCAAAAGATCTAAAAGAAAAAGAAGATAAAATTAACACCATTTATAAAATAAATTGCATAAACTGCCATAAACATTACATAGGTTGACAATGTTGACGTCCCTTTTTAATCCGAATTCAAGAACACATTAGCTGTAAAAAGACTTGATATATATATATATATATATATATTATTTCGTATCAATGCAGGCAGGTTATTATGGACAGCCATTTGACGACTGGGATAATGTCAAAATTTTAAACATAGGAAACACCAAAAATACTGCCAAGGAATTCCTAGAAGCCTGGTACTCAAATGAGTTAGCCAGCAATTAACAAACACATTATCAGGGACAAAATTTACCAGCTAATAAAAAGTAAATCATAGCATGACAAGAAAATTCGAATTCCAAATCAATCAGGATGACTAATAGAGACGCAAATTGACAACCAATCACGATAGTAGTTGCCTGGAGATACAATTACATCTATCATGGAGAATTCAAATTGTAACAACAGAAGACAAGGGCCAGGCAACAGATCGTTTATTTAGGAAATCAACACAAATTTATATATTTTCATGTACATTATTATAGATTATTGTAAGCAAACAAACACTGTCTTCCGATTGGTGGATTCTCGCTGAACGTTAATCTTTCATCTCTTTGTGGCCCTTTATTGAAGTTCAGATTATCTATCTGCAAATTGTATCCGCCCACGCAAAGTCTGCTGTGATTGGTTGTTGAATCAGTATTTGTTCTTATTTCTCTCACGACCAATATTGGGGACGTACACATTAACGTAAATTACACTGTCTACCAATTTGGCTAGCAGACAGCTATCACCACAAAATGAGTTTATTTTATACTGAAACCTGTGTTGAAGATGTTGTTTAGAAGCAAGACGATGAAAGCTTTGCAGCTTAGAGAACACAAGTAACTCAATACACCAGTTAAATCAAATCCCCAATTTGCACACTCCGAGGAGGTGACTACTTCACCACAGTTTCCTTTGGCAATCAGATCACACGATGTGATGTGCTCGATATCATAAGTGATAATCTGGGCATCAAGCGTAAATGCATGGAGCTATTTACTACTGATTGATTTAGGCGAGTAGTAGTTATATGCCAGTCACATTGACCAGTAGTTCTTGCTAGTCAGATGGAAATAATCTTGAACTATATTATATAACTTTATGGTGAAGGCAAACATATTCAGAAATATTAACTGTGTAGTCGTCTATTTTTAGTTGATAGTAACTAGTGGTGTAATCCAGGATGCATATTTCGTCCCATATTGCACTCATCATCCAGATTTACCTATAACCTTCAGTTAGTGATTGTGACCTTACTAAGACTAGAACCATGAAACTACTGCTTCAAACTCCATGGCATTATCCAATAGACCATGAAGGTATGGAGAGACACCTCTTTTTCAAGAAGTACCAGTTATCAATTTGTTTTCAGATTAAACTTACATTTCCTGTTAATTGATTATGTTGAACCGAAACTCCCGGTTTCTGTGGACACGTCGTCTGATTAGTAGACTCACTGGAAATGCAAGCGAATGCAGCATACGACTTCTAAATAGGATAAAATATGCAGTCTGAACTCCACTGTTAATCCTTGAGCATCATCAACACGTGCGTATTAGCAGCTGATTGATGAGTCAACAGAGACTGATATCACTTTAATTCATTTTATACTTGTTTTCAATCATTCTTATATCAGTTTATCAGTTTTAACTGTGTTTTTTTTTTTGCTTTTTAGCTGATGCTGCAAGAGTACCACTTGGAAGTGGTGGTTACTATGGCTACGGTGATGCCTATGGATCTGATCTTGGTAAGTCTATCTTGAGTTGAACTGATAAGTTAAAAAATGAAAGATATAATTTTATACCCCTGAATTATAGAGGAATACTTAAATTTCATTAAGTAAATGATGATAGAGGACAAGAAAATTTTTAAGCGAACAGTCATGGTTTCAATAACTTGTTCTTATTCTTCTATAGGCTCTATGGTTGTAGATCCATGAATGTTAGAATACTGGCAGCCGGTAAAGATAAACCAAAAATAATAGCAAAAAGTGTATTGGATTATAAAGGAAACGAGCCGACGAAGTTATCTAACATGTGTTGCTCATGTCGAGCCACGGTGTTCCTCGACGAGGAAAATTAACTGACATAGGATTATCAGGTAACGGTTTGTAGGTATTTGACTGATTCGTTACAGGATTTCATTATGAGCTGACATCAGTTAAAGAACCATTGGAATACTACCTGGGAGTACTGGACAACCAACTGTTTCATTCGCCTAGTATGGAACTCTTCACCAGTACATACCCACCACTAAGGTCCGAACCCAGGATCTCCCGATTACAAGGTGAGCGCGTAGATCATTAAGCCACTGGAACCCGATCCAATAGCCAGCTGATGAATTCCAACTTCTCCCAATTCACGGTGTAGTTCGACCACTTCGCAATGTCTTCTTCAATGAGTAACTGTCCTCACCTTCAACCTGCTGTACTCTACCCCAACCAGCCAGTCAGGACGTGTACTCCTTTATACGTGGATGGCTGACTGGTTGGCTGGCCGAAACAAGCTGTTATGGATTTCATTGACTAATGAAGCCGTGTTTTTTGTTTCGACCACCGGTCACTAGCTCTTCTCCAACCTGATTTATCTTATGTCAGTTAGCTGACATTGCATGTCATCGAGAAAGACGATGACCAGGCTAGGCACGCCAACACATGTCCCAACCATCTCAAACGATTTAACCTCACAATCGTATCGATTGATTTCCCCTCTTTACCCAGCACTTGACGTCTAACCTCAATATTGCTCTCCCTCTTATACCACTACCTAACACAGGAGATGGGACCCAGACACCTATAATCAAGGAAAGGTAGCCTTTTCGTATCTTCCACTTTCAATGGCTATGTCTCACAGCCAGTCATAAAGAGGGACGGAGCAAACTGCTGAGCAGTGTACACGTCGTTTGATCGATACCCGGCAATATATCACGTCTACTAAGTTAGAGATGGCGAAAGTTAGTTTATGCCAAACGAGCCTTCTGTATCCTTGCTGACATTTTGTTAGGGATTAACGCGTTGGCGCTGGCTGATGCAACTTCCTAAATAAGTGAAGTGATTAGCATGCTCCAACAACTGCTTCACCCCCATCTGTCTTTAAGCTAGAATTCGATGTAGTTCAGTCAGTCCCGTACCATAATCTTACATATGACTGGAGAGAATCGTATGTCAGGAAGTCGAAAGTTTCTGCTCAACTCAAGGTGTTCAGAAGACTCTGCATTTTGTCGTCTTCACTTAGAAGGACTGTGTTATCTGCATATACTTGACCAACGAGATTATTCCCTGGTAACAAGTCAATCCCTCAGTCTCTCAGGTGAGGTAGGGTTAAGTCCATTAGTACATCTACGATGAAATTGAATAGAAACGGGGATAGTGGACATCCATAACTGACATCACTAGTCGTCACCACTTCAGATGACAACTCGCCGTAAGCTCTTACCTGGTTGCATGAGTTCGAGTAGAATGCCTTCATCAGTGCAATGTATTTTCTCGGCATTTCCTTCACAGCCAAACATCGCCATAGTACCTGTCGGTCGACAGAATCGAAGGCTGCCTTTAAGTCAAGAGATATGACGATTGTTGGACGCCGGTAAATATGCATATGTTCCAGAATCTGTCGAAGAGTGAAAATATGATAAATACAGCCTCTTACTGGTCTAAAGACTGCCTGGTTCTCAAATGTGTGTTCCTCCTGTGGACTACTTAGTCTACACATGATTATTGAGCCTAGAACTTTAGATACCATATTAATCTAGCTAATCCCCCTATGATTATCACAAGAAGACTTGTCTCCCTTCTTGTATATCGAGATAGTCAATGACTTACACCATCCCGACGGGACTTCCTGATTCTCAGACGCTGCCTAATACCTTAGTTAACTCAGACAGTAAACTTTTCCACCGTCCTTCAACAACTCTGAAGTCATTCCATCAGTTCCCTCTGCTTTGCCTTGCTTCAGATTAGTGACAGCTTTAGTAACCTCATTTAAGGAAGGAGGACCGGTGTTTATATCCCATTCAGGGAGGTGTTGGATAATGGGTAATATGAGTGTGGCTCTAGGCCAATTAAACTGCTCCTCACAGTGTTCTTTGCAACATTCCAGTCGCCTATTCTGACAGCTAATTATCGTGCCATTTTTCTCCGAGACTTTTTCACTTATTGATCGCTGTAGCTGCAACTCTGGGAGGCGTAATAGCGTAACTTTAGGCAAGTTGTTTGGCACTCAATATCCAACTGTAAATGACTCATCTATTCTGATGAGATATTCACTATCTACTAAATGGGGTAAGATTGGTACCCTTTATTGATTCGCATTTAGTGATACAGTGATTAGTATACACGTATGAATGAAGATTAACTCAAAAATGCCTATATAATTAAAATATACTTCAAAACTCTCGCTAGAAGCTCAATGTCTCACTCGGAACGCAAAGAAACAAAAAAAGACTGATTAGTCATACTATTTCAATGCGAAACCAGCATCTTTCGCCATACCGTCGACTCTTGAATAGCTGAATGCTAAGACAGAGAGAAAGACTAAGTGAGACAGACAGGAATAGCTATCAGCCTTCCTAATGATATGAAAAAATTGTACATAAATGTGAAATACATGTGAAAATGTATGTGAAACATTTATTAAATGTTGAGCAGTCATCTGACTTCCGTTTAAGGTGTTTTCTCTTGATCTAGTTTAGGCGTAGCTAGACATAGAAAACAGCATGGGAATTAAAGTGTCCTGACATTATTTAATAGTTCTATCATATGCATAGCAATTAAAAGTCCCCATTTTCAAAAGAAAAACAGTTTGAGAGGGCAAAGAATCTTGAATATACTTAAATATCAATGAGATGCTCACTAGCGAATGGCCCTATTCAGGTAGGAAAGTCATGACCAGAAGGGTACAGCAGGTAGAGCGTGAGGACAAATATTCGCTATGGATGACATTAGCTAGTGGTCGCACTATGTCATGAATTGGTAGAAGTTGGAATTCATGCGTTGGTCATTGGACCGGATCCCAGTGGCTTAATTAACGGTCTACGAGCTCGCTAGCCTTGTAACCAGACGGTCCTGAGTTTGAACTCTGTCGGTGGATACATGCTACTAAAGAGTCCAAAACTAGGCCAACGGAACAGCTGACTGACTGTTCAGCACTGTTGTCTGGTTTCCAAAAGGTTTTCTAACCGATATCAACTCATGGAAACATAATTAGCTCCCAGGATACACGACTGGAAAGAGCACTATGAGGAGCAGTTTAATTGGCTTACAGCCACACTCAACTTACTGAACATCTAACACTTCCCTGAATGGGATATAGACACAGGTCCACCGTCCCTAACTGAGGTTACTAAGGCTGTCACTAGTCTTAAACAAGGCAAAGCTGCGGGACCTGATGGAATGACGCCAGATGTATTTAAGTACGGTGGAGAAAGTTTCATGTCTGCACTAACTTCTGTAATAGGCAGCATCTGGGAGTCATAGGTATTCCCGTCGAGTTGGTGTAATTCATTGATTATCCCGATATACAAGAAGGGAGACAAGTCTTCCTGTGATAATCATAGGGATTAGCTTCACTAATATGGTATCTAAAGTTCTAGGCTCAATAATAATGCGTAGACTAAGCGGTCCATGGGAGGGACAAACATTAGAGAACCAGGCAGGCTTTAAACCAGGCAGAGGGTGTATCGATCATATTTTCACTCTGTGATAGATTTTGGAACATATGCATATTCACCGGCGTCCAGCAATCATCATATTTCTTGACCTGGAAAGGACATTCGATTCCATCGACCGAGAAGTACTCTGGCGATGTTCTGCTGTTGAGTGAATGTCGAGAAAATACATCACACTAATCAAGACACTCTACACAAACTCATACAACTAGCTAGGTGACAACCTACGGAGAGTTGTCATCTGAAGTAGTGATAACTAGTGGTGTCCCCCAAGGATGTTCATTATCTCCATTTCTGTTTCTTTTCATCGTAGATGTACTGATGGACTTAACCCTAACTCACTTCAGTGACTCAGGGATTGACTTGCTACCAGGGAATAATCTGGTTGACCTAGAATATGCAGGCGATTAGTCATTCTAGGCGAGGACAATGACAAAATGCAGAGTCTTCTGTACACCTTGAGCTGCCATCTAAGATTATTTGACATGCGGTTCGCTCTCGCCAAATGCAAGATGATGTTACAGGATTGGACGACACCGACTCCCAGTTTAGAAATAGGAAGTGAAGTGGTAGAGCACGCTGACCACTTCACTCACTTGAGAAGTACCATCAGCCAGTGCCAACGGGTTGATCTCTGACGAAATCTCATCACGGATACAGAGTGCTAGTTTTGCATATGCCAGTTTACGCCGTCTCTGGCGTAGATATGATATCCGACTATCTACCAAAGGGCGTGTTTACTGCTCAGCAGTCTGCTCTGTCCTCCTTTATGGCTGTGAGACCTGGCCATTGAGAGCAGAAGACATGAAAAGATTAGCTGTCTTTGATCATAGGTGTCTGCGTTCTATCTCCCGTGTGAAGTGGTATAATAAGGTGAGCATTATTGAGGTTAGGTGTCGAGTGCTAGGTAAGGAGGGGAAATCAGTCGACGAGACTGTGAAATTACATCGACTGAGATGGTTAGGACTTGTGCTACGTATGCCTAGTCATCGCCTTCCTCGACGGGCAATGTTAGCTGATATAGAGTCAGGCTGGAATTGAGCTAGCGGCGGTCTAACCAAAACATGGCACCGGTCAATGAAATCTACAACAGTTAATTTAAGCCGGCCACGTAGGAAGGTGTAGACTCCCTGGTTGGGGTCGTCAGGACGGTAAAAACCAATGGTTGGAAACAATTGGTGACATGGCTCAAAATCGTTCTCACTGGCGGGTGCAGATGCATCCATTCCTTGTGACTTATGATTTCCTATGAAACTATATTGTTCTTCGTTATTACTATTCCTTTGTCTCCCACCTCTGTTTACCGTCTATATTATGCATTTCTCCTACTTTCTTCTCTTGCTTTGTGTGCTACATAGAGTGTGGCGACTTGAACTGCTGCACATATGTGCAAAGTTCTACATCGAAAACAGACAGACAGACATGATGAAATTCTGTAACCAATCAAATCAAATCCCTGCAAACCAACACTTCTCCACTCCCTTTGGAATACTGTTTGGACAATAATTTGTTGGCTAGCTCGTTACCAGAATTCCTTGTTACTTACCCTTTTTGGGCCAGTCGGCTGGCCTTCACTGATGATATAGTGAAGGTAGCTGTGTTGATGAAATCCTGTAACAGGTTGTTGGAAATGCTTTCTGTAACGCATCAGGCAGCTCTATGAGCCATACAGAAACTCTGACTAACTCAGTTTTTGTTCCTTATACTGGGCACTGCACTGCATATCTCCAAATCGATTTCAGAATAATATTTTAAAAAACGAACACTATTCATAAAACTGTCAACTTCAAAAAAATAAACACCTGTAACCAAAAGCATCAATTAATTCGCATTTTTAATTCTTCTAATTTTGAGTGTTTTTCATCGCTAAAAAACTATTTTCTTTCCACCTTTTCAGATGAAGATTCAGCCTTGTTGGCTATTCTAGAGCAAAGATTATCTAGAAAACCACCAGAGAGTAGAAGGATCTATTCAGATTCTGAAATGGGATTACAAGAAGCTGGTGATATTCCCCTACGGATAGTTGGACAACAACAACGTTCCGGTCATGTGGTTGATGGATCTAGTCAAGCTTTTGCTGGTTCATTGTTACCAGGTAAAAAAAGAGAAGTTGAATAGTTGTCGTATTAACGCACAAAGATATTAGTTTCTATGGATGTCTTTATTTGAATATTATGGGGACGATTTTGACGTAGTTTTGTTCCTTGAGCTTTCATTGCCTTACTACGCAACTGCCTCACTTCAAATTGATGAAGTGAGCTTTTGAAATTCTCCACGAGTTTATTAGCCATCTCTGTCAGTGACCTTGAACATAATTGGTTACTTTTATCTGTTTTCACACCTTCTAGTCTACTTATATTAGTATTGATCGTTTTCTTGACCTAGAGTTCAACTGTTTTCCCCTCAGTGTGCCTCTTAATTACCAATTCACTGTAATACCAGGCCTCAGAAAATTCCCTGGAGTTTTTGGCGTCTCCTCTGTCTAATAGTGGAACGTTGTCCCAGACCAATTGGTTTACGTGGTTGTCTGTATGCAACGATATGAGGGAGTGGATCTGGTCCCAGTGGCTTAATGGTATACAAGCTCGCCTTGTACACCAGAAGGTCCTGGGCTTGAAACCCGGTGGGTGCGTACTGATGAAGAGTCCCAAACTAGGGCGAAACAGCTGTCCAGTACTCCAGTGCTGGTTTTCCAATGGTTCTCTAACTAATGTCAGCTCATGATTAAAATCCTGTCACCAATCAAATCCCTACAAACCAACACTTGGATGTCATTTCCTTTGACGGCTATTTTATGTTCATGGATACAAAGACGAAGAGGAGGGGCGTCGACTTTGACCAATGTAGTGTTTTTCGCATTCGTTGCAATTTATTTTGTAGATGATGTTGGATTTATCTTCTTTCACTGTCGAGTCTTTTGGTTGACACAGAGCCAGCTGAATGAAGTGATTTTGTTGGTTTGTGTGAGACATCAATTCCTAAGTGTTTGAAGAGTCTTTTGGTGATTTCTGAGAAGTTCTTTATATATGTTAGGCTGATTTTCTTTGTCTAATTGGGAAAGTTTTGTGAGTAACATGATATGATTATGAGCAGGGTAATAAATTGTGCTCGAAACATGATCATCAGTAAATATTACTGTACAACACCACTGTGAGGCTTTATCAAAATAAATTCTACCCACAATGAAATTATTCACCCAGGATTCTGAAATCGAAATAATACAACATTATGAATATAGTTGCGTTCAAGTAAAATTTATTTTATTTCAGTAAATGAGAAATCCCCATATTTAAATCAAAACAAGATTTTTAGCGAACAATTGTTTTCGATAACTTCTTCTTCTTCAGGCTCTACAGTTATAAATCCATGAATAATACAGTACATATTAGCCAATAAAGGCAAATGAAAATAATATCAGAAACTGTATTGGGGTGCATGTGTAAGTTGAGATGATAGTCCATTAGTTAACATAGTCAATCAAATTTGTATAGGGTGTATAGTCATAAAAAATGTGATGAAGTGTGAATTAACAATTGGGTTATATGGTGCTGTTGTATAGTCAACAGAATACAAGTGTCATTGGGGTGAGAGAAATGCGATAACCACAAAATACACACAAACACACACTAAGAAAGGGGACACTGAATGTGAGGGCTGACCGATAATGACTAATGATAAAATAAAGAGGGTAAATTGTAAATTGTAATAAGATGTTACAGAATTGGTAGGCTTAGTATAAAATTACAAAGGTTGACAGAAATTAAGGGTAACGATGGGGTGAAATAAATTGGGTGGAGAAATGGATAATAAAGACATGGTATCACAAAATGGTAATAATAATACGAAAAATTATGGACGTGATGACCTTATAGTGGGCCAGGGTAGGCAGAGAGAGTGAATAAGTTTCTGCTGTACACATAGGTCTCAGCTCTCTCTATTAATCACTATTGCCTTAGCCATGGCTAGGAGGCGTAATCGTGTGCCTTTGGGGAGATTGTTCGGTACTCGATACACAATTGTGAATGACTCTTCTACTTTGATGCTGTGTTCGCTATCCGCTAGATGAGACAGAATTCCACTATTTAATGATTTGGTTGCTCTTTCCCCACCCACATGTACCCCAATACAGTTTCTCATATTATTTTCATTTGCCTTTATTGGCTATATGTACTCTATTATTCATGGATTTATAACTGTAGAGACTGAAGAAGAAGAAGTTATCGAAAACAACTGTTTGCTCAAAATCTTGTTTTATTTTTCACGTTCTGAAAGGAACACAGGGCCTCAGGGTTTTTAAGCTTTGAACTTTTTGAAGAGGTGGTGTTTTTACGAAGTGCAATTGCTAACCTCACTCCTAACTGGTTAGGCTAGGCTCAGAAGTGTTACTACGAGGGATCAAAGGTGAATCATATGCCTGGTTGGTGGGCATTTTACCAATGAATCACTCGAAAAAAAGTGTGATGAGGAATTGAACGTCAAACAGAATGAAATAATACCTTATGACGCATCAAACAAATAAAATGTCCATGGTCGACGAAGAGTTTAAATGACCTCTGTTTGAGCACACAGTGAGGGATTCTTAATGGCGAAAATGTCTGAAACCAACTGTCTTCGCTAGATTTGTTTCTGCTCTATCAGTTACTCTGAATGTTATGTTGTTTAAAACGTTGGGACAAGTGCTGACAAGAGGTGCTCAACTATATAGCTTCTGGATGAATGAGTATGCACTGTGTTTCTGCAGGCATACTGAGTAGTTTCCAAGATTTAATTTCTAGGGATTTAATTGTTTTGTTGAAGTTTGACCATGGATTGATATCAGTTACAGAACCATTGAAAATTAGCTAGGAGTACTGGACAGCTGTTTCGTCCTAGTTTGGGACTCATCATCAGCTGTCCAGCACTCCATGTTTTCCAGTGGTTCTCTAAATTATATCAATCTATGCTGAGTAGTGTTGTCTTACTCGTTTTTCAAGAAGAAATCTCCATGCATTACAGATAAGATTTTATTTTGACAAATCACACAGTGTTTGTTATACAGTAATATTAACTCATGACCAAGTTTCGAGCACAAATTATTGCCACTCATAATCTCATCAAGCTACTCACACAACTTTTTCCTTCATTTATATACATGTGTGGAATTGACCAGATATTAAGATAAAAATCAGTATGAGATAATATACATTCAGAGATAATAATATTAGTGTTATTGATCAATTACAATCAGGTGGGAAATAGGTCGAGTGTTTTTATAGTCATCATAAGTAACTTGTTAGAATGTTGTGTTGTGCTTGAATTGAAATAGAATTTTGAGATTATTTATTATCCTCTTCTGATTTGACCGGAGGTAACAATATCTTCCATACATATTTCTGGTATTTGCATTGAGCCATTTCTGTTGCATGTAGATCGGGGGTAATCAGATTGGCGGAACATAAGAATTTGGCTAAGGTAAAAATGATTCACCCCGAGAAGATAAGTTATTTAGAAAAAAAGCTCAGCAATTGCACTATATGCATTAACACACACCCACACAATAGAGTGGGAGAGGGTTAAGATTCTAAGAAGTAATCTATGTAGGTGGAGAGAGAGATTGATTACTGAATCCTGGTTCATCTAATCTACATCCAACACAAGCAACAGAAATGACTCAATGCAAATACCAGAGATATAGAAGATATTATTACCACCAGTCAAATCAGAGGAGGATTATAAATAATGTTAAAATGTTATTAGATAGTTGGAGGCAATCGGCCACAGGAAGCCTAGCCTGACGAGGTTTCGTGCTAGCTGGCACTCACCAGTCAGTCAGCAAGGCAGGCAAATCTGTAACCTTGAGGGAACTAATGTCCCTTCTGAGATTCGAACACGCGTCACCAGCTAGTGCTGTAGTGAGTCAGAGACGTTACCACTGAACCAGCTATTCGGGCTTTCGATTGACCTCCTGTGGGATTGTAGTGGGTAATTTGATTGGACACTAGTGAATAGTGCGACGTGTCTAGTCCTTTGTTTGATGCAGACTGAATTCTATCAGTCAGGTCTGCAATGTGGTCACCATTCTAAAAAATGTAATGTTAAAATGCATTCAGTTCAGCTGACATTATGACATTCTAACAAGTTATTTATTTATTTTACTATAAAAACACTCGTCTTATTTCCCATCTGATTGTACTTTATTGATAACACTCATTATTATTTCTGAATGTAAATTATCCTGTACTGATTTTTGTTCAAATGTCTAATCAGTTTCACTCATGTATATAAATGAAGCGAGAAATTTGTGTGAGTACTGCCTTGATATGATGACGATGAGCAGTACTAAATTGTGCTCCAAGCGTTGTCATCAGTTAATATTACTGTATAACACCATTGTGTGATTTATCAAAATAAAATCTTATCTATAATGGAGTTATACTCTACCACAGTGCCCAAGTTTTATACTCATATTAATAAGAAATCTGCATATTTTGCTGAAAATTAGAAACTAAAGTACATAAGCAATTTAGAGGAATCGCGTAACTGTTTTCTAATCCATTGTGTTCATCACCATATATGCTCCGACATTCTTCTGTAAATATATAAAACCAAAAGCCTTTCCTCTTTTAAACACTACTCTCCTACAGCCAGTTTACCACCTTCCCTGGAATACCGTCTTGTACAACCAACTGAAGAAATTGACTATCCACCAGTACAGGCAGTAGCCTCTCCACCTTATCATCATGTGAAAGTCCACTATGAATACGGCGATGGTGATGGTGGCAGTGACGGTGATGATGACGATGTTGCCGCCGATGGAGATGGTCGTGGTGATGCCCGATACCGAGATATCAGTCCATTATCAGATGTTGCTGTATCATACGGTAACACACACACACACACACACACATGCATACTCGCATAATTCACTAAGCATATGCATGAATAAGCATGTTATGTGATGATAGTGATGATAATGACCTTGACGATTTGAAATACGCACGCAAATTTCTCCTCTTTTTTTCGATTTATAAGCATGTAAACAAATGTAAGGTGATAGATATTAGTTGCTAGTTGTTCAATGTCCAATGCTTGATAAACAACTTTTTCGTCTTTTTCTTTACTTTTCTACATTTTTTTCAAATTTAGGCGAACAAAATGAAGACATGGATTTATTCTCACGACGAGTAGGTTTTTTTTGATGATTCTATTGATGTCTATTATTATTATTTCCTTTAATTCCTAGAGGAACATAGGGCTTCAGCTGCATGTCTACATTGCGTTCGGTTCTCTGCCAATGTTTTTACCTGGCTCCAAGTCTGCCCACACGTTTTCATCTCCTCTTCACATGACCTCCACCAAGTCACCCTTGCACTGACGACCAACTCGCTGCTTCACTTTCGGGTTCCACTCGAGCAATGGCTTGTCTAGTGATGTCACTTGATGGTTTCTTCAGAGTATGGCCAGCCAATCCATCTCCATTTCTTCCTTCCTATTTGTTTCACAATCGTTTCCTGGTTGGTTCGCTCCCACAGGTCCCTAGTTTGTTTGAGGTACCCTTTATGACGCGCCAAGTCTCTGATCCGTATTGTAGCATTGACTTCACATTGGAGTTGAAAATCCGGATCTTATTTTTGATTCTGAGTGATGTTGACCTCCACACAGACTTGAGAGAAATGAAAGCTTGTCTTGCTTTACCGATCCTTGCTTTCATATCCTCGTCAGTTCCGTCCGCCTGTAATTGAAACGATGCTTCCCAGGTAGGTAAAAGAGGTTGTTTCCATCAGATTCCTCCCATTTATTCTAATTGTTGTCTGTTGGTTGTGGTGCTGTTGCTGTTGGCCAGGAATCTTCATCACATCTGTTTTCTCTATGTTCACCTGAAGTCCTATCTTTGATGCTTCTTCTGCCAACTTATTGCTTTTCACTTGCATATCTTCCAGTTTGTGGGAAATCAGACATATATCATCAAGGGTGTAGTCCAGATCCTCCAAGTTTTTTGTGTGGGTCCATTTTATACCTGTTTCTTCATTGCCTGCTATCTGTTGCATTATCCAGTCTACTGCAATCAGGAAAATCATTGGCGATAGTAGGCAGCCAGCTTGTCTTACTCCCGTCTTCACTTCTTCGAAGGTTTCCGTAAATTTCCCGTTGTGGATTATTTGGCATGCAGCATTGTCGTACAACTGTTGGATGAGAAGTATAATTGTCGGTGGCACCCCGTAGTAGCAAAGTAATTGATGTCTATGTTTATATATAGACGTCCATGTGGGTAACAGTATTTTCATTGACAGTCGAAATCATCACCCAACGAACCAAATTTCATAGTGTTGCCTATTAGATTCACGTGTACCAAAAAAAAGACTTCAAGTTCCCGCCAGATAAGCAGTCCTTAGTCACAGATCATAATTCATGAGGTAAAAACTACCAACAGCAAGCACCGGTGAACAAGAGAAATTGTTACAACTACAGGTGCCACAGATGAAGATATCAAAGCCAGTGAAGATCGCGAAAGCAAGGAAAACCGTCAAAATGAGCTGTAGTCAACAATAAGAAACAAGAATCCAATTTTTGGCAGTTAGTATTTCTGTATGTTTCAGGGACTTCGTATTAACTTCGCCAAATGTATTTTCAACAGGCTACTGAGGACTTTCACCAACGCCTGTCTTGATAGCGAAGATCAGATGGCTAACCAGAAGGAATAAGAAACGAGGAACTCCCACTACAAATCAATAAACAGCTTATGAACCCACAGATACATAGAAGGAAATAAAGATGGATTAGACATTTGTTGAGAAGATTGTTCAGTGATATCACACACCACACAGGACCTCTAGTGGAACCCGAAAAGGTGTGTTTGTGGGGGGGACCCAAGGGCGACAAGGATGAGATCGTGTGAGGTGGAGCTAGCTTAAGAGGACCCCTGAAAACAAGATGAAGTGGAAATGTGCTTCTGAAGCCCTGTGTCCGACTGCGAACCCAAATGAGTAACCATAATAACAACAATCAGTTACCTCTGTGTTGTTTCAAATATCTCCTTTCTTTGTGTCACTGATGTTTAGCGGAGTCCTGGTTTGTTTGATAATATGCTGACATTTTTCAACTTGTCTGGCGATTCATGTCTTTCTCTTTTATTAGTAGTAATAATAGCTTTATTCCAAACACTACTTTTGGTACAAATACCGAATTTTCAGCATGTCATAGTACAGTTTTGCGTCTAATTTCCTCAACACAGGGGTAATAACTAAAACAGGGCATTTACGTTGGTAACATTGTTCAACAGGAATGTGAATGTAAACAGCAACATGACAATGAAAAAGATAGGGCCGTTTACCCAGAGTTCCTCAATAAGCTGGTAATTTCCTGCCTTACATACCTTCCTCATCACATAAAATGTGTGTCTAGTGGGCTATCGTAGAGTTTTCATACTTAGTTGTCCAACCCAAACATGAAGTCTTTTATAGTTGCTTCTAATTCTGCGCAGCCGGTGAGATACAAGGAGACAGTCGTGTATAGAAAGACGAAACTCAGGGTCTGACAAGATAATCGCTAATTTCTTATATGAGACCATGTGTATATCTACAATCGTATTAACAAGTTGGTTTAGCCATACCCCACACTCCCTAATGACTGCTTCTAGTCGCCCTAGGATAGAAAGGGTACAAGAACTAACAAACGTAGAAAACAGAAACTGCCTGAGTGATACCGGATCGTCATAACTTTCTTACGTGGAACGTTAAATAAAATGATGGGGGAAAACCATGAAGGATCATCTGAGGAATTACCTAGTCCAAGGTATTTAACATTCGATTTAGTTTTGATCACTGTGCCATTTATAGCAGTGAGACCACGAGCCACGTGCTTGCGTCTGAAAGCGGAATTACCAATTTGACTGACATTTAGAGGGACCATTTGACAATCAAGGACCATTGACTAATTCTGGAAAAAACGTTATTCATCTAGGGACAATCTGACTGAGAAGTAACCGCCGGCATGGAAACAGTCAGATCATTGGCACACTTAACAAAATCGGCTTCATTAGATAGAATGGGGCAAGTACGTCATGTAGGAAGAAAGAAAAGAGAAAAGGTGAAGGACCCGAGGAACACCGGCTAGAGTAAGCGAAGCAGTGGAAGACTCCCACTGTGCAAAATGTACTACTTTCTGTCACAAAAGTACGAATTCAAGCACTTATTGGTTCAGCACTCTGCTTGTGACGCAGCAAGACCCAGGTACAGACATAATCAAAGGTAAATGTGTAATCTAGGAAGGCACACTGAACATATATAACACCTCTTTCTAAATTAAAGACAACATAATGATGTGAGACAACAGTGGTTACTAAGGATCACATTGTGATATGATTCCACTAACTCAGCTGTATGGTTTAACTGAGAAGCTTTCATTATCCGTCTAGACATCATCTTCAGAGAAAACCTCAATATGAAAGGAAATTACGTGAATCCTCCATTGTGATTGGTTGCTAATATGTGCCTGTATCTTAATCGATTTTATTGACTTGGAATCTGACTGTTCTTTTCAGTTGGCTTATTCTTTATCAGTGTTGATAAATTCGAACTGAAAACCAAACTGAATTTTGATTTATTTTTTATTATAATAACCGTTTTTCTTAAAATATTTCAGCCAAGAATACAAGTTGTACGTTCTCCTGTCGAAGCTTCTGGACGTCTCCCAAGTACGTTTGACTGCTGTTTTCTCAAAATGGATGACACCGTTTTGAATGTCATGTTTAGTGAAGATTTATTCGGAATCGCATTAGCAAATAGTCAGGTTACACTTTAGGCACCATGTAGGTTGCATTTTCTGATCTGAAAATTTTAAATTTCCGTGGTGAAATTCAAATTTTCAAAAAAGAACTAGTTCACTGAAGTAGGTAGCTAGCATTCAAGTAGTTTCATCTGATTCAGATGTCTGAGAAGAGACCGGTGATGAACTAAGTCCCCAGAGAACTGAAGTGTAACAGACGTTCAGTCTGACTGACAAGCACTATTTCCCAAGATGAATAGTTTCCAAATACTTATATGAATCAGTGGTATATATAGCGCTGTGTAATTTATTCGTTAGATTGTTATCAGGAAAATCAAATTGAATAAAGGTGAACATCTTGGGCTGTAAGATGACGCAGAAGGTCTCGTAGTTTTTTTGCTAAAGTTTGATACTTTTGGGCAGTATAACTCTTCTCTCTTCACCAGTATTGACATCCTAGGTCTGATATAAAATCACCTCCCGCATTCCACTGATGGATGTTGACCAACACTCAGGGTTCAACATTCGCAAAGGTGTTGGCATCGTTGAATCACTTTGTCGAAGGTATGCATTGTTCTGTTGGTAGTTAGTAGGTTTCAATTTGGCTATGTCATCTATGCCACTTAAATGTTTTAGCCCTCTGGAGTGAAGAAAAGCGGATAGCAAAACCACTTCTCTTTCTCCGGTCTCATGAATGGTAGTATGGTGAGAGCTGTCTGCTAGCCAAAATTGTAGACACCAATTTATGTCAATGTTTACGTCCCGATTCAGAGTCATGAGAAAAAACCAATAACAAATCTTGTTTTGATTTTCTTAACACGCTGAGATTAATTTAAATAATTTATAATGAACAAAGCCTAACCTTGAGTAACTCAACATCCAATCGCAGCAGACAGCGTGTACAAGTACGATTTGCAGACATATGGCTTAACTTTCTAAGAAACGGTCACAAGCAGTGCAGAATAGCCTTGAGCAAGAAAACAACCAATCAGAAGATGTTGCTTCTGTGCTAATAATACAAATAATAATGTACATGAAAATCTATAAATATCTCTTGAATTTCTCGATAAATGATCTGTTGCCTGGCCTTTTTCTTCTATCGTTAGAGTAGTGACGAGGTATTCAAACAACTCTAAGTCATGAAGAAGATTTGTAGCTCAGGTGGATGATATCCAATTAGTTGTTTTCTCTAAGAAACTGGCTAGTTATTTAATTGTGAAGCTTTCGTCGTCCTTCTAGACAACATCGGTATCAAATGAACTCATTTGAATTCTCTATGAATGATATAATTGTGTCTCCTGGCAACGATCTTAGTGGCGCGTTGTTAATTTACGTGTCTATTGATCATTTTTATTGACCAAGAACTCAACTATAGCAGTAATAATCTAGTTACCCAGAAAAGAAACTATTTGCAGACATTGTTTAAAAGAGTTGAAACACACTGTAGCACTACTCTATTGTTGATGAGAATGGAGGAAAAATAGCTACTAACACCCGTCTTCAAAAAGAATGCATATCCTCTCAATTTCATCAAGAAGTGTTTAAACTTGATTCATAACACAAATAAGAAACCATCATCGATACCACAAAAAAACTCATCCTACCAAAAAAACAGCTAGAATAGTGAGACAGTTTGAAATAGATATAGCACACAAGCCAACCATCCAACACAATCACTTCATTCGATATTGTAAAAACCAAAAGATCCAACGGAAAAAGGAGATAAAATTAATACCATTTACAAAGTAAATTGTATGAAGTGTAATAAACATTAAATCAGCGACCAAAGTGGGCGTCCTCTTCGAATCCAAAATCAACAACTTAAATTAGCTGTAAAAAGACTTGACATATATTTTTTCATATCAATACATGTAGATAATTATGGACATGAATTTAATTGGGATACTGTAGAAATTTTAAATAGAGGAAACACCAAAAATGCTGACAGGGAATTCCTATTAGCCTGGTACTCAAGCGAATCAGCCAGCAGTTAACAAACACACATTGCTATAGACCGAATTCACTAACTAATAAAAAGTAAGTCATTACATGATAAGAAATTTCAAGTTACTGGTCAATAAAAACGATCAATAGGGAAGTAAATTAACAACCAATCACGACGAAGGTCGTATCTCAAGAGATACGATTATATCATCATTCGTAAAGAATTCAGATAAATTCACTTTATAATAAAACCTGCTCTGAAGATGTTGTCTAGAAGGACGATGAAGGCTTCTCACTTAAATCAACCAGCTCAGATAACAGAACGAAATCAAATTTACGTCAGTTATGAAGGAAGTCTGCTGCTATATGTGTTACATATTTTCATAACACACTTATATAGACTCTGCTTATCTTTAAAACCTTTTTTTCTAAAAATTTCAATTTTCTGTTTTATTTGAAAAGCATTTGGTGCGTCATCATCGTCAACAACTCGAGGAAGAACATTTTCTGGATCTCCTGTAATTCATCCAAGCCAAGGGCAAGCATATCCTAAGTCAAAACCGCCGTATACATCTCCTACAAAAAGATCGTAAGTTAAAATAATGAGCATATTGTTACACTTTTTTTATTTTATTGACTTAGGAAAGCATTACTGGTTGTTGTTGTTGTTAGTGAGTGATTGAGTGCTATCCAACTACTCACTTCAATCAATCAGTAATATGTGGCGGCCATAAAAAAAATTAAATTAAGTTATCCTCAAGGTATTGTTGAAACATCCGTGCAAAGAGTCGACCAGGCTTTTCAGTCCAATAAAAATCCTTAACGACAGAGTTATCCATAGTGACTGTACAAATGCGCTGATAGGAATTTAATCTGTTTCAAATTCGTCCACGGATTGGTGTCAGTTAGAGAACCACTGGAAATCAGTGGGGAGTAATGGACAGCTATTTCGTCAAACTAGTTCGGGACTCAGAGGTAGCGTGCAGCCACAAGGGTTCGGACCCAGAATCTACCGGTTACAAGGCAAGCTTGTAGACCATTCAGTTACTAGGACAGGGCTCAATGGTCCATGAACTCGGGTGTTTGCTGGTGACTCTCTCTATAGGACAAATTCGCTTAAAGTTCTAGTGAGAAGTCATGAGCAGTGATGTCCATCCGGTCGAGAGTCAAGGCAAATACTTGTCGATGATATTGGCTGGTGGCTGTGGTGAAATCACATATTGTTAGAAGTTAGAATTCATCGGTCATGGAGTCAGGTCGCAGTGACTCGAAAGTCCTGTATTCGAACCATGGTGGTGGGTGCTTACTGCCGATGAGTCCCAAGCTAGGATGAAACAGTTACCCAGTACTTCCTGTCATATATATTCATCAAAAACGTATAGCGTTCTCTTATTCAACACTAGAGAGGTAACATAACTGAAGCAATAACCCAGAAGTGGTTTTCACAGAAAAATTACTTGACAGTCAGTGACAGTGGAAGTACGAATTTGAAATTTGATTAATTGAGGCCAGGTGGGAGAATGTCCACTTAGCATGTGTGAAGGTGGGATAGAACTTGGCAAAATTTATAGAAGGAACATCTTAGAATGGTCATACTGAATTAATTACTGAGAACTTATGCTAAGGAGTAAGAATGAGTTGTGTGGTCTAGATAGAGTTAAAGGTCACACTGACAAATCGCTATACAAAATTTCTGAATGCCTACCCAAACACTTAAATGCTCTGGAAGCTGAGTCCGACTCAATGTTTCATTTCCTTGATGTTCAACCGAGAAGGAATACTGACAACTCTGTGAGAAGATCTATCTCCAAGAAGTCCACATGGAACGGAATGTTTATCAGCTTTCAAAGTTGTATGCTTCTAAGCAGAAAGAGAAATTTAATATGCTCTCTTTCCTCGAGGATCCGGAAAAAAATATTCCTTGAGGGATCAGTTGACGGAGGATTGCGAAATCTCCCAGGCACGTAGATAGAAAATGGTTTTCCATCCAGATTCATAGACAAGAATCTAAAGATCCGATCAAATCTATCAAATGGAGTGAAATCAAGCCATCTAGGATTAATTGAGGCACTGGCGATCCAAAAACTCAAGCCCGCGATGTGTTTTCAAAAGAAATTTTCTTCGCTTTGACCGTCGTTTTAATAATTCTTATGACCCAATGTATATATTCCGTGAAATCGCTATACACAAGACCTGAAACTCAGCATTTCTTGGACCACTTGGTTTCATCTTGTAGATAATTTTAAAAGACATCTCTAGTGAAGCTATGTGGCCTGTATGCTCCTGTCGACGCCAAGTAAAATCCTGAGTCGCATCATCCTGGAGAGAATAAAGGACGCACTGGATACAGAATTCCGACCAGAACAAGCTGGATTCAGGAAAGGCTAATCATGTTCTGACCAAATTGCAACTCTACGCATCATCATCGAACAAAGCATGGAATGGCAATCAAATCTCTACCTCAACTTTATAAACTTTGAGAAGGCCTTCGACAGCGTTGACCGCGAAGTAATTTGGAAACTACTCAAGTACTACGGCGTACCCCAAATATTCATCAACCTTATTCAACAGCTGTACGACAATGGCACATGTCAAGTGATCCACAACGGAAAACTCAGCGAGGCGTTTGGAGTAAACACAGGAGTCAGACAAGGGTGCTTATTATCACCAATGATATTCCTAATTGTGGTGGACTGGACTATGCGTCAGACAGTGGGAAACGAGAAGACAGGGATATCCTGGACCGACGTGAAGAACCTAGAAGACCTGGATTTCGCGTGTGGATGATTTATGTTTGATGTCACACAAAATCGAAGACTTACTTACAAGTGAAAACCGAAAAACTGGTCGAAGAAGCAGCCGGCGAAGACAGGACTCCAGGTGAACATAGACAAGACGGAGGTTATGAAAATAACCAATCAACAACAACAGCAACATCCAGCGCGAATCACCATCAACGGGAGGGATTTGAAAGAGGTTACTTCTTTCACTTATCTAGGGAGCATTGTCTCAAATACAGAAGGAATGGACGACGATATCAAATCGAGAAACGGGAAGGCGAGAAACACATTCATCAACCTGAAACCAATCTGGAAATCTTCATCACTCAGCATCAACAACAAAATGATTCGGATTTTCAATACAAACGTCAAGTCAGTCAGTTCTTCTATACGGATCAGAAACTTGGCGGGTCACAAAGAATATTTCCAACAGCCTGTTGCACACCTTTATCAACAACTGTCTTCGCTCTACACTGAAGATTAGATGGCCGTCGGAAAGAATCACCAACAAGAAACTATGGGAACAAACAAAACAAGAACCCATCACCCAGCAAATATGCAGGAGAAAGTGGAGATGGATTGGACACCCGCTGAGGAGGCCGTTGAGTGACATCGCGCGTCAGGCCATAGCTCGAGTGGAACCCGAAAGGGAAGCGGCGAGTGGGACATCCAAGGGTGACATGGAGGAGATCGTGTGAAGAGGAGTTGAAACAGTATGGACTAACATGGATGCAAGTGAAAAGTACAGCAGAAGACAGAAGCAAGTGAAGACGTGTAGTTGAAGCCCTATGTTCCACTAGGAACCCAAGGGATCAATAATAAAATGTGGCCTGTACTCACCAGGTACTCGAGAACTGAGCTAGTAATTTTCTTGGATTGTCCTCTTGATAACCATGTCGGATCATGTTTACAGATGCTGCCGGATACTGTACCCTTCATGTGACCGATAGAACTGGCTCTATAGGAGCAGGTGAATTTATAAATATACCTGAAAGTGAGGCAAAGTAACTGGTTGTTGAATTGTCTTCTTTCATAATTCAAATGGGTGTTTTTTGTCTTTCGCAACGGGAAATACAGAAACAGCTTAATGAAATAACAACCGATACCTATTGAACAAGATGTGGCTAGTGCTTCAGCGTTCTGGGAATACCAATCGCCACCTCGGGGTACAAATACATCCAGAGGACAAGTTCTAGGTGGGAGAAAAGAGACTGTTAGCCGCACATTTATGTACTCATTTTGTAAACTTTTTCATAGATTTTCTGATTTTGAATATGAATGCCAAAACAGAATGTTTGATAAACTGTTGTTTCAAGTCTTCTGAATTAATACAATGGATAGATAGGAATCATGGTCAGTGGTGCCGGTTACCATATATAAAGCTACTACAGACAAAATGACAGGAATAATAAACATCGCAAAGATGAAACTAGTTATTTTTAGTATGTTTCATATAATTTCACAACAAATCTCCCTGTTTATTCACATTCTTTACAGACATTTCTGGGGACATTCAAGTTACGATGAACAATGGTCAAGGCCACCAGTCGGTGAGTGATTGTATACAGACAGGAGACAGTTTATACATGTATTATTTCTTGTTTATAAGATATTATTATATCAGTTTTATTCTCTTTGGTTCCAAGTGGAAGGTAGTTCTTCAGCAGCATATCTAGATTTAATCACGTTCACTGAATTCCTTTTCGGCTTGTTCCACTATTACCCCTCATATGATCTCCTCCAAATCTTATTCTTTTCACTTAGTACAGTAGGTTTCCCTCTCTAATTTCAGATTAATGAAGGTCTCTTTAGCTTAAGCGATCCTGTCTCTGACATCTTCACGTGTGGCACCTGTACTTGAAACGATTCTGCCTTTTTAAGTGAAAGTGACGAGGTCTGAAGTTACATTATCTGAGATTGTTAGGACATCTGTTACACACGTATCCCTAACCATCGCCTTCCTCGACCTATGGGCAATGCTACCTGACTGATATAGGATGGATCAGGTTGGAAAAGAGCTAGTGGCTGGTGATTAAGTTAAAACATGGCTTCATCAATTAGTGAAATCCACAAAAGTTAGTTAAAGCCAGTTAGTCACGTAGGGAGGTGTAAACTTATTATTACTCACTGGCTGGTTGAATTCCTCGGAATAGTGAGAACCAATGCAGGTTGAAGACAACTGGTGATACGGCTCAAAGCCATTCTCACTCAGTGATGGCGCAGATGCACTTACTCTTTGTGACTTAACATAACCAGTAAAACTCTATTGTTCTTCCATATTACTAGTATTCTTTCTCCCTTACTCAAACTTCTGCTTGTAATCTCTCCTTTGAAGCTATGTTTACTTTGTTCTCTTGTTTTATGCGCTGCATGTGCGTTGGTGGCACAATGGTAGAATTCTCACCGACCACGCATATGGTCCGGAGTCCGAATCCCGGCCGATGCACTCCTCTACCTCTTTAAGCCAGTAATAAGACTGGTAAAGAGGGAAGGTTGGGCTTGGCATGAGGCTGGCTAGCAACCCCATCCCGTGAAAATAAACACCGCTGCTACCGAAGCTTCAAGCCTCTAGTTTGAAGCTCTATGTTCCACTGGGAACGTAACAGAATTTTTAAAAAATGGAGGGAGAGTGGCAACTTGAACTGCTGCACATCTGTTCTACGTTGACACCAGTCAGTCAGTTAGATAAGTGAAAAAATCCCTTTCTGCAAATTTCTCCCGTTGAAAGTGATCAGTACATACAAGATATACCCACAATATTATTTGTTGTAAACGCATATATGAAACTTTTGATTACTGAGCCCATCATTGGGGTATTTCAATGGCCCAATCGTGTTCGTTGAATGACAATGTAATCAATTCAAACTCCACACTTCTGTCTGAATTGTTTTTATGTAAACGAAAAAGTTTGATAAATTTGTCAAGTTACTGAAGTTTTCAAAATTTTTTTAACCTTCCAATCAATATTTTTTTCTTTCTCTTGTATATTCCAGCAGATGGACCTACAATAGATCGATCCTCCTGTACAAGTCCAGTTCAAACACATTCCGGCCGGCTACTTCGATCTCCAGTTAGTCCTCCGCCAAGAGGATATATTCGACGACCATCAGAACTGCTTGATGTTGGTAGTCAATCCGATACAGGAATCATAGGCGGTTTTGGTTCACGAGTGTACCCTGGTACTTCATATCCTGCTCATGATTATCCTAATCGGCGACAGTATAGAGGAGCTCGAGGAAAAACTGCCGTCAGTGCAAAAAGAGGACAAGCTTCACAAATGCCTTTATATCGAAGTCCAGAAGTAAATAAATCGCACAGGCAGAAACATCCAGTTTCCACAGGATTGGGTAAGGATCCGCTTATTTAGAAAAGAAATCTTGAATAACATTTTAAATTACTGACATGGCTGGCTGGCTGGCTGGCTGGATTCAACATAGAACTTGGCACCGAAGTGCAGCAGTTCGAGTTGCCACGTTCCAAACAGCACACAAAGGTAGACATGAAAATGAGTGAAGAGAATCAATAGAGTTTTGACAAGTATAAGAGTGAAACAGAATGAGTAATGGTAGAAAGGAATATGAAAGATTACATAGACTAAATACATCTGCGTAAGCCATTGACAACGATTTTGAGCCATGTCACCTAGTGTCTCCAGCCATTGATTGATTCTTAGAGTCCTGAGGGCCCCATCCCGGAAGTCTGCATCTCCCTACCTGACTCAGTTTAACTGTCAAGGATTTCATGGATTGATTGATGACATGTTTTTGTTTGGCATGGCACCACTTACTCTTTTCCAACCTGCACCTATATCAGCTAGTAATGCCCATCGGGAGGGGGAAGCGATGGTTAGGCATGCGCAGCACGTGACCTAGCCATCTCAATCTATGTAACTTTATAGCCTCTTCGATTGATTTTCCCTCTTTGCCCAACACTATACGCCTAACGTCAACATTACTTACCTTATTATACCACCTAACGCGAGAAAGTGATCGTAGACATTTATGATCAAAAACAGACAACCTTTTCATGTCTTCAACTCGTATTGGCCATGCTTCAGAGCGATAGAGAAGGACGGAGCGAACTGCTGAGCAGTACACAGTCCCTTGGTTGATAGCCAGATGTCACGCCTACGCCAGAGACATGCATAATCTATGGACCAGTTTATCATATGAAACCTCCTATGTCGTCATGTTTTTATCACATTCTTCTTGATAAATCTCTGGGATCTCGACATCCCTCGGTCATGAGTTAATAAATGATAATGGTTACTTGGATATATGAATGTAGTTCACTTCCACACGGTTCACTGTTAGATTGTGTCCACTGGCATAACTCCATTACAGATAAGATTTTATTTCGATAAATCACACAGTGTTATTATACAGTAATATTTACTGATGACCATGTTTCGAGCACATATTATTACCCCTCATAATCATATCAAGGTATTCACTCACACAACTTTTTCCTTCATTTATATACATGTGTGGAATTGACCAGATATTTAAATAAAAATCAGTATAGGATAATGTACATTCAGAAATAATAATACGAGTGTTATTGATCAGTTACAATCAGATGGGAAATAAGACGAGTGTTTTTGTAGTCATAATAAGTAACTTGTTAGAATGATGTGATGCACGTGAATTGAAATAGAATTTTGAGATTATTTATTATCCTCCTCTGATTTGACTGACTGGTGGTTATAATATCTTCAATACATATCTCTGGTATTTGCGTTGAGTCATTTCTGTTGCATGTGTTGGGTGTAGACTCAATGAACCGGGATTCAGTAATCAACGTCTCTCTCCCCACCTACATAGATTAGTTCTTAAAATTGTAACCCTCTCCCACCCTATTGTGTGGTTTTGTGTTAACGCATGTAGTGCAGTCGCTGAGCTTTTTTCTAAATTACTTATCTTTCCAGGGTCAACCATTCCAACCATAGTTAAATTCTTATGTTCCGACAATCCGATTACCCCCGACCCACTAGTTTGACCTATGCATTTGACCTAACTCACAGTCATTGCAAGGTATTTTGTAAATTATATTATTTTGTTTAATTGGGTCCACTGGGTCTTTTAGTCTACAGAGCTTGTATCTAAGCCAGCTTGTAGGTTTGAATGCCACCCTAATTCCTGTTTTATTAGGAATCCTACGTAGGGTCTCAGATGTCCCCTCCTTATATGTTATTACAGTGGATGACTTAAATTCTCTCTTATTTATGTTATCATTACTAGTTCCACAATTATTTTTATTTTTGGCTTTAGTTATCTTCCTAATGAATTTTCTAGGGTAATTATTCAACACCAACCAGCTATTCTTCTATCTGTTTTATTTCATCATATAGGTCTTTTATTGTACTACTTATTGCTACTGCTCGATTTGTTAAACACTTAACTAAGCCGCCTGCCTTAACAGTTAACAGATGAGATGAATTAAAGTCTAAATATCTACTAGAATGCGTTGGTGTTTTATAAACGCTAGTGTGTAGTTTACCTTCTTCTATTCGTTTTATACTTATATCCACTGGCATAAGTTGTTCATCGGTTGTTGAAGAGTCTTTGGACGAGGGCGAGATGTTCCTGTAATTTCCAAAGAATACGACAAGAGGATTGACAGAACAAGCAGACAGTAGAAACTCATGAGAGAACGAAACGAGGAACAACGCGACCATATTGTCACTCCAATTCGAAAGTTTTATTCTACACAAAAGATGTCGATTAAAACAAAAGTTGTGTCCATTTTTAATATTGAGCAGAAACTGAGCAAATTTATTGTTCAGGATTCCACAAGTTTTCTGTCAGCTTGATAGTATTTTTGATTGCTTCATTCCAAACTAGACTTTACAGGTTTACAAGACTAGTATTAATATTCGAATCCACTCCACAATACACTGTACACGCTTTAATGTCTACAGAGGAGCGTCAGCATGCTATTGCTGCATAAGGAATTACATTGTAGACGTCACCACGTATCTTCCCTTTACAGGATTTAGTTGGCACACTTTCCTTCCCTCCATTCCTTAAGCGTTCTGAGTAGAACATAGAGTTACAGGTTTTCGATGTTTCAGCTGAGGTAACATTGTTTTTATGATGTGGAGTTTCTGCCTTCATGTCCAACCTTCCTTCCTTACGGAGATTATTACCGCCTTGTCAACTAGGCCAGGTACAGAAGCACGTTGGTCGGGAATCGAACGCCAGACCACATGTACGGTTGGCGAACATTCTACCGATGTAACACGTGATGCTTTTTGTTACACACGTTATTCGAAATAAAACATATATATAAATATCTCTCAGAATTAATTCTATCCTATTTTTCATACATTTGTTCCCCTTAATGAATTTGAACAAAGCAACAACTACAGTTTTAGCAGATGACATTGGAGAAATGAGGTACTGATTTGCAACGTCGACGAGCTTAAATTTGAACCAGCTCTTCTTGTCATCATCAACTGGAGTGAGGTCACTCAGCTGATAGAATAAGTTTTCAAATTGAAAACAAAACACGTAGATCAGCGAAGAGTCTCTTTTCGGCGAATTCATCTTCTTAGCTGTACAATCGCAAATACATGCATTGTTTTGTATGTATGTGTACATTAAGTTTGTCAAACAAAGTTACAATTGGTTAAGGTTAATTTTTACTAAACAAGTGAAGGTTGGTAATACAGGTCAAGAAAATTTAAGTGACACTAGGGTAGTAACAAAGGTGATGAGTTGTCACAAACAGTTGTAATAATAATAGTGAGTTTTACTCAGGATGCACATAGAAACAAAGTAGAAATCATGTAAGAGATCTAAAAGGATACAAGAATTACAATTGTTTAAGGTTATTTTAACTAAACAGGTAAAGGTTGGTAATATAAGTCAAGGCAATTAAGTGCTAGAATAGTAACAAAGGTGATGAGTTGTCACAAACAGTTGTTAAAAGAAGTTATGCAATAATAATATGAATATTTTGATGAGTGAGTTTTACTCAGGATGCCACATCAGTTCTTCCGACAAATTTATTTGGGATGTGGAAGTTGAATCCATGAGAAAGTGCTTCCATTTCAATGCGATTTAACTTCAGACTCGACAGATTACAGATATAATCCTCAGGATTTTCTGGAAAAACGTCACACAATTTCTCCTTTGTCAGGGATTTCGACAGAGTTTTGTAGAAATTTTCACATGTTTTCTGTTGAAGTCCTTGAATAAAATTGATGAATTTGATCCGGCATACTATATTCAAACTATTGACGACACCATCGAAAGATCGGGCTTCAGTTCTCAATTTAGAAATCAGAGATTCTATTGATTCAGTATGCGATTTTGTAATGCGTCGACGATTTTTGAGAGATGGAGGTAATTTGCAAGTGACTTCATGAGATGGCGAGGAAAACAGTGAGACCGCAAGCATTCATGGTAAAACTTCAATCGAGTCACTTCTCTCGATATTCTGCAACGAAATGTCACCAAATGATTCAGTGATTTGAAAGATTCGCTGGGGAGGCGTTTTTACAGAAATTTCATACATTTGTTCCCTTATTTTTAACTGGTTCAGATCAGTTAGACACCGAAGCTTCATTCCATCCCTTGAAAATATCTTAAAACGGACATCTACGTCATTACTTGAAGATGAGTATTTTTATTTTCCATATCATTGCGTTCTATCATCAGGTGGATGGTTGATTGAACTGCAAAACTTTCCTTGTCCATCGTGCCACTATCTCTACAGTGTTAATTTTCAGAGTTGAAATGCCATTCTCAGGAACTGTCCATGAATCATTTAGCATCTTTGTTAAATAGCATAAACTCTTTCATGCAACCGGTTCCCTTTATTAGTTTGAAGAGAGAAAGAACGAACATGTTTGCAGGATAATACCAGCTCGTTTTATTTCGTGGATACTCATCAACTGCACACATCCTAAACAAAATCAAGTTATAGGTTTCAAGAAAGTTGTGGAACATACTTTTTCATAATTACTTTGAGTTATAGATAGAAGGCATAAGGAACATAATTTCAGAATTTTATGTAGGTAGACAGATTATTCGATGTCAAAAAAACAACTAATTATATATAGTGGAATTAGATAAGAGGGGTAAGAGTTCAAATTTCTATTTGAAAACAACACAGATTGGTTAGAGGCATATTACAGGGTCAGGATCAGAGAGCAGAGTAAATTTACACATCTTGTGGTGGAGAGTTCAAGAGGGTAGGGTTGAATAGTGAAGTAACATTCTTAACTTAGACAAACAATTAAGTAATTCCATATTAGTTTGTTTATTAGATGTATCACACAGTGAAACAGTATTATTTACTGGATGACACTCAAGTGTCAAAGTCGTGTGATTACAATTGATATGATTATGAAGAATAAATTTTGTTCGAAACGTCATCCAGTAAATAATACTGTTTCACTGTGTGATGCATCTAATAAACAAGCTAATATGGAATTACTTACAACCACAGTGCCCAAGTTTTACACATATATTAAAACAATTAAGTAGATTTAGAAACTAGAAGGTCAAAATTGAATAGAATGTTACGTAACAAGACAAACACGCAGGCATATTGACAAAAAGGCAAGACAAAATAAAATAGAATTAGGGTTACCAGGGTAGTGAAAGATTAATCACACTATCTTTCTGTATACAGAGGTCTGGTCGAAATCTCTTGATAGCAATGGCTTCTGCGAAGCGAAGTAGCCATGAGTTTCTTAGTGTATTGATTATTTTGAAGGCTTGGCTAATTTCTACTGTGTGTCCTGTGTCAATTAAATGTCTGGCGATTGCACTCGATAACACTTTTCTTCCTTTTGTACGGAGACTCTTAGGAATGTGCTCAGAAAATCTAGTAGATGCTGTCCTCTCAGTCCTTCCTATGTACTTGCTTCCGCAAGTGCAAGTGAATTGGTAAATGCAGTTGGAGTTGACGTGAGTAGGGTACTCATCTACTTTTGACTGGGTTAACGACCACACAGTGTTGTGAAATAGGATCAGTCTGGCGGCTGGAAACGTTCTTTTTAATGCACCTGTGATTCTTTTTTGTGTTCTTGTGGATACGTCTTCCCCTTTGTTTTTTGACATCGAATAATCTGTCTACCTACATAAAATTCTGAAATTATGTTCCTTATACCTTCTATCGATAACTCCAAGTAATTATGAAAAAGTATGTTCCAAAACTTTTTTTGAAACTTATAATTTAATTTTATTTGGGATGTAAGCAGTTGATGAGTATCCACGAAATAAAATGAGCTCGTATTATCCTGCAAACATGTTCGTTCTTTCTCTCTTCAAAGTATCAACTCTGATTGGTTGTGTTCCCCAGAAGGATTTTCTCATTATTGTCTTCACTTGTATTGATGCTGATCGTTTTGTTGATCTGCTAGTTTGTAAATTTTGATCTCTTTCAATATGTGTGTGCATGTATGTGCTAAGTGAATTTTGATATCCTTTTTTGGTTTCTGTTACAGAACATGTGCCAGACAATGTCTTTATGGTGTTAAGTAAAATATCCGCCTCCGCGCATATTTGGTACCGTCCTGAGATGTCACGTAATGATGGTAAGTAGTTAGTGTTGTATGAAAAACTGAATTTTTCTTTATGGTGATTACTCACAAAACAGCCAATTGACCAGTGGATAGTATTATTGTAGTTCTCTTGGGTTTTAAGTGGGAAATCCCGCTTCACCCTGTTTAATGCAGTCTTTTTTAACTGTCCCTCGACCGCCAATAAGTTTTGACTTCCTCCTCACCTTGTATTCTCTCCGTCTCATCCCTAACTTGTCATTCCCCGTACGTGCTTAACTCAAGGGTCAAGACTGGAGCGTCATTTAACCCAACGGTCTCCTCAAGATGAGCTGGTTTACCCCCATTACCTCCTGCGTATATGCTAATTGACAGGTTCTTGGTTGGTTCAGTTGACTGCCAGGGTTTTTCTTGTTGCTAATACTTCCCTGATCTTTAGTACATAACAAAGAGGCGATTATGAAAATGACAGTTGCAGAGAAGAAAATTTTCTTTTCGACGAAGTCATCAACTAGATAGCTGCACATTCGTGTATATTTATAAAAAATGGGTGGGAAAGTTCCAGAATAATTTCTGGTTAAGGGTCAAATTAATAAAAGTTACAATCGGGAATTAAAATGCCATAATAAAGAGGGGGGAGAGAGATAAAACTCAAACAAAGTAGCATCATAATTACTGAGAAGATTGACATATTGTGCAATCGGGGGTTAGAAATGTAGAAATAACAACAATAGACAGGATGTTTGGATAAAACAAATCTAGTGGGATCGTAACTAATGTGATGAACAATTGTTTATGCAGTTAGAGATTAAATATGTAGAAATAATAAAACAACAAAATAAACAGGAAGTTCGGATATGAAAAGAAGGTAGTGTAAATAGGGATTAAGGAAAACTTAAAAATAACATGAATAAACAGGACGTTTGGATAAGAAAGGCAATGGGATAGTCACTGTTAAAAGAATTACCTTTTTATGATGGCCATGGCAGGGACAACTGTTGGACATATTTCTTTTGGATGCATAGCGTGGGTTTGAACGTTTGGACAGCTAGTGCCTCGGCTATGCCCAGATGTCTTAATTTTACTGCCTTTGATAGGTTTTTATCGAATACTGTATATTATTTTGAAGGATTTTTTGAATGGCGCTGAATCTCCTGAATCGACCAGATGTCCTGACACTGAACTACATACACGTCTCCATTCTACTTTTACTAGCCAGACTGGATAGTGTTCACGAGCGCGTTTTTCAAGTAGGCGCATGGTACGGCCGATGTACTCAGCTCCACATGAGCAAGTAAACTGGTATATGCACGTTGAAGTGGCCCAATGCGACAGCTTGTCTTTCGCGTTCTGGCCGAACAGTTTCTTGCAGGTAAAGGTCAGTCATGCGCTTTCGGCGAAGAATGTTTTCCTAAGAGTTTCCCAGAGGCGTTTACGAAGGATTTCTGCCTAAATGTCACCTTTGAATTCTAAATTAAGCAGAAGTGTCTTCTTCGGGACGGAATGAACTTTTTCGGAAGTCTTCTTTGATTTGAGATTCTTGTCTATGAACCTAGGCGGAAAGCCGCTTTCCATCAGGGTTCCCCGGAGGCTACGCAGTTCTTCGTAGATCACTTCCTCACTGCATATATTCCGAAGAGGCGATTGTTGATAAAAGCCTAAACTAGCCTGTCGGAAATCATTCCGATGACGCAGCAAGTCTCAGAACTATATATATATATATATATATATATATATATAAGTACCGAATTTATAGTAGTGTTTTACAATCTGAACCTTGTCCTTTATACTGCGCTTTGCAGCAAATTTTCACACTGTCTTCAAAATAATGAATAAGATGACATCATTATTTTAGTGCCTTAGTATTTCTCAACTGCACACAGGCTAAAACGATTTTTAAATGTCAAGATACAAAATCTTCACATAATTCAGTGGTTAGGAGGAAGATGGAAGCCAATAATATTACGTAATCAAGCGACGGAATTTCTAGTTTGCTCCCTTAGAATCAGGAAAATAAGAAATAAACCAATCAGAACAACAACAAGAAAAAACAAAACAGGAAAAGTAGTGACAATAACACCAACAAAAACCGTCACGAGAATTATCACTGTTCAATACAATTACCACAAAAATAACACGTAAACTATAGACTGACTGACTTGGGTCACATCGGGTGTGTAAATCCAATAATATATACAGTTATAGATATTAGTTAGTGTTAAACAGTCACCAAGATGTCAAACAGTTAGTTATAGGTATTCACAGTCAACAGGATTATATTTACAGAATCAGTGTTCGAAGTTAAACGAATTACACTAAATTCTACAACTCCCTGGGCAGAAACACCTGAGAAATGAGAGCTTTATGTAACTAGGTGAATGTAACGCACATTTTGGGAAGCACGTCAAAGACAGGGCTTCAGGTGAACATAGAGAAAACAGAGTTGATGAAGATTCCTGGCCAACAGTGAACACATCAACAATAACAGACAAAAATGAACAGTATCGGGAGAAATCTGAAAGAAGCAACCTCCTTAGTCTACCTACCCAGGAAAAATCGTTTCGACTACAGGCGGATGGAATCGACGAGAATATCAAAGTGCGAGGATCGGGAAAGCAAGGCACGCTTTCATTACTCTCAAGTCTGTGTCTGGAGATCAATAGCGCTACTCAGAATGAAAAATAAGATCCGAATTTTCAACTCGAATATGAAGTCAGTGCTACTATATAGATCAGAGACTTGGCGCTGCGTCACTAAGGGCACTTCGAACAAACTGCAAACCATCAGTAGTAGATGTCTTCGCTCAATACTCAAGACCAGATGGCTGACCAGAAAAGTTCAGCAACAACGAGGGATCTCTGCGAACGGACCAACTCAGCAGGAACCAATTGTGTTACATATATGTGGGAAGAAATGGAGGTGGATTGGCCATACTCTGAGAAAATAAACCATCAAGTGAGTGACACCACACACCAGGCCATCGCTCGAGTAGAACGCGAATGGGAAGCGACGATTTAGCTGGTAGTCAGTGTGAGGGTGACATGGAGTGGAGGAGGTGATGCGAAGGGGATACGAAAGCATATGGTCAGAATTGGAGCCAGGTGAACACGCTGGCGGAAAATGGAACGCAATGGAGACGTGGGGTTGAAGCCCTATGTTCCTCTAGGAACTAAATGAAACAATTATAATGAGCACTAGAATGGAGAGGATAAGAGGCGTTAATAAGCTTGCAGAAAAACTAGAGCTAAGATCGGACGTACGAGATAAAACAATGGTGTGAAATTGTTAACATTAGGCTAAATTGCCTGAAGTAGTCTTGTTTGATGATAACAGAATCAACAAATCGAAAGACAGTTGGATTTCTTTGTTTGTTGTTATTGATAAATACGTACTGAATATCCAGTTTATGTCTTATTTCGATTAGGTATCGTCTGATGGCATTGGTAAGACACTGGGGATCTGTAAGTCCCAGGCTTTTTGGAATACATTCAAAAAAGTGTCGTTGCAAGTTACTTCCCCTGGCATGTACATATGAAATTGTAAAATAAAATTTTGGAGATGACTTCTAATGGGCACCTGTTCACTTTCAGTCAATAAAAAGCATAACTAGTGCTGTAAATAGACACAAGTTGAACTGTCGGATAGGTTTTAGCAAGGGTAACTCTAAGTCTCATGTTGATTCAGTGTGACACATCATCTCTGCTGAACGGGGATGTTCTCTCTGACACAGTAATGTTTCCCTAGCCGTCTTATAAATTTCTTTGTGAACGCGTTTTCAGACAGTCACCCCTTTTTCACACTGACAAGCAGTAGTTAATAGGAACTATAGGTAACCCATTCGAGTCATAGTTATTCGTGAAATTTTTTTGCAGCTTATATTACATATTAGAAATAAATTACTAACACTACTGCTGTTGTTGCTGCTGCTGGTTAAAAAACTTTTTTTTCTTTATCGTTTTGTAGCAATGGATCTAGTCAGAGCTGAAGCACCAGGAACATTTGTAGTACGGAATAGTGGTAGCTTTCCACACTCATTTGGATTGGTTGTCAAAGTCGACCGACATCACACGCATGGTTAGTTTGTGAATCGTTTATTTCCCACTCCCTTTCATTACATAATAATTTTAATATGGTATCTTATAAAACCACCATAAAGATTATTTTTGTTATAATAAAGGTTTTCTGTATTTCCCAATGAATGAATGAAAAACAATGAACGATATTGTTGTTTTTACTGATGTTTCGCTATTTAATGCTTCTGCTAATAGCTTTATCATAGCAGTATTATTAAACCGGAATTTACAAAATACACTCAGCTTATATATGACAAAGAGTTGAGGTTAGGGCAGTACGCACCCATTGGTTTACGAACCCAGCACCTTCCGGTAACAAGGCAAGCTCGTAGACCTTTCAGACACTGGAACCCAATAGAATGGCCAGCCAGCCCATTAATTCTAACTTCTGCCAATTCGTGATTTTTAGCGCTACCACCAACCAGTGTCAGCGGCGGGATAACCACGACGTCTGACTGAAATTCCAGGAAAATCCATCCTGTAGCAAGTCACTTGCAAGCATCAGATTAATTTTCAAGACTTGAAAAATAGACCTAATCCCTAGAAATCAACCCGTGAAAATTATTCTGATCCTCACCAGTGACTCACAACAGGACGGAGTTTCCTGGAGTTAGTTCTAGAGAGAAGTCGTGACCAGTGAGGTCAATGCAGTCAATGTGTTAGGATGGATATCACGCCAATGACATTGGTTGGTGGTCATGCTAAAAATCACAAATTGGAAGAAGTTAGAATTCATGAGCTGGCCATTGAGGCATCAGGTCCCAGTGTCTGAATGGTCTACGAGCTTTCCTTGTTACCAGAAGGTTCTGGGTTTGTTATCCAGTGGTTGCTTACTGATGAATTATACTCTGTCAATGCTCAGTTTCTCTCCTTATATGAATGACGATTCACAATTCGTTGTATTATTCTCACTACATATTTGATTGTCCCATTTTTTCTAATATTTCTTCAGGTCAAATAAATAGGTTCATTTTAACGTCTTAGAATGTGAGTAAACCTGTTGAAAAACGTCTCCTCATTCAGTTGATATTTCGATATACAGACTCTAGTTTCTCACCCACAGTTATCTCAGATCGATTGAATAGTCTGTGAAAATTATCAAACTTACCAATGGGTCCGTGAATTATGTATGCATTGCGTTTACGTAATTGTCTCCGCTTTCTGAGAACCTCTAGAATTCAATGAATCTTTGCAATAAAGTAGCCATTCTATATGTCCGAACAAAGTTCAATCTTAACAGTTTGAAAAAATTTGGGCATTGGGTATATGATATTCATTACAACAAAGGGTTTTTTGTATTTCCCAGTGAATGAATGAAAAACGATGAACGATATTGTTGTTTTTACTGACGTTTCTCTATTTAATGCTGCTGCATAAAGCTTTATCAAAGTATTATTAAACCAAAGTTTACAAAATCCACTCAGCTTATAAATATAACGACTTAATCATCGTTCCTCAGCATGCGGTCATTTTTGAGTTGTCAAGTTGACCAATTGGTAAAGATAACAAAACGAGGTGTAGATGTCTGTTGGATTTGATTTTTTTCTTCCTTTACGTTCCCAGTGGAACATAAGGCGCCTTCAAGCTACAGCCCTGAAGTTTCGGTAGCGGTGGTGTTTACCTTTACGGAATGGGGTTGCTAGCTTCATGCCCAACCTTCCCTCTTAACCAGCCTTATTACTGGCTTAGAGAGGTAAAGGAGTGTGTCATTGGACGGAGACCAAACCCAGACCACCTGCATGGCTGGCGAGAATTCTACCGCCGTGCCACTGACGCACGTTGGATCTGATAAGTGTACAAAACCATAAAAGTAGCGTGCGTTTACATGGTGAAATCGTTTATCACATTCGTGTTGATTTCATCATTTCATGGGGGAACGCAGTGTTGCGAACAGGTCAAATTCTGTTTTATTCCATCATTCCTATTCAGACCATTTGGATTCCATTTGATATGAATGGCTGGCTTCTGATGATGTGAGACGTTTTTCGTGATTTCTGAAGTGCTTTCCTGGATTACTTCGATATTGTTAAAATCATTTTTACGGTCTGATTCTATAGCGTGTAGACCTTGACAACGCTAAAATGACCCCATACTGAGGAACGAAGATTAACTTGTTATATATAAGTTGAGTGGATTCTGAAAATTCTAATTCGCATACTACTTTGATAAGGCTGTTAGCAGCAGCGTATAAATAGCGAAACGTCAGTAAAAACAACAATATCGTTCATTGTTTTTCATTCATTCATTGGGAAATACAAAAGCAACCTTTATTATAATGAATATCATGTACCTAATGCCCAATTTTTTTCAAACTGTTAAAACTGAACTTGGTATGGACAAAGATAAATTCTCTATGTTGATTTATATTCTCTGGAGTGCTCGATCTCTATTGACATATCAGCGCCCTTGGTACGGAATCTCTGACGATGTTTCAAGGCTAACATGATGCTACTATGGTTGGTACTGACCCTAACCCTAACAATTTGTCCACACAGAAAAACTATGATTTTCAGGTGTTATCTTGTAGGTATTTGGTCTGTTTCTAGTTTGATCACAGATTTATGTCAGTTAGAGAAACAGCAAAAAACTAGCATAGAGTACTTAAATAACTGTTTCGTCCTATTTTGGGACTTTTTAGCACTGGTTAGCTCTTCATAAATTAATCTGATACTCACCAGTGACTAACTGAAAGATGAAGTTTCTCTGAGTTTTTCTAGTGAGTGAGAATTTGTGAAGTCTAGTGGGATCCAGCAGGTCAAACAAATACTTACCACGGATGATAATGGCTGTCGCTGACGGTAAAAATCGTGAAATGACAGAAATTAGAATTCATTGGATGGCCATTAGACTCCGTTCCAGTGACTGAATGGTTAACGAGCCCGCCTCGTAACCTGAAGGCATGAGGCTTGTGATCCTTGGTGGGATCATGAGTGTGTACTGCTGAAGACTGGCAGACTAGGACGTAAGAGTCATCCTGTAGACCCTGATTTCCAGTAGTTCTCTAAATGAAAACTTGAAACAGAACTATGATTAGCTTCCGATGCAATCGGGAGCTTAGTGCAAAATTTATATTTCTCAAAGACTTATATTCAGTCTAGAATCCATCACATCACTGCTCACTACTTTGTCTATCTTTTTTGAACCCAAGAGAAATATTATTCTTGAATTATGTAATGTTTACCTGAAGCTATGAACATCCCGGGCACACTGCTTCAGATTTTTCTTCGTTATCCTCTCCAAAATCTTACATTCAGCGATTTTATTCTGAAGAACGCTTTGGTTGAAGCCATCTGGTAGAAAACACTGGATCCTGGTTTCATGCTGTTTTGATCCTGATTATCAAGGTATCATAGAACCAAAGATGGTAGACCGTTGCTTTAGCAATCCGAAGGACACTGACTGGAGGTGTGTCGTGGTTCACATCACTGTCTCACCTACAGTTACCCACCACCTAATTAAACCAAAAGTATAAGCTGACGAGTTCAAAATAGGACGAAATGCGCATTCTAGATTCCACTGCTAGTCACCATCCACCAATTAACTTCTTGACCAAAAGCAGTAGTTTGTCAGTCACTCACACAGAATTTCAGATACTTTCACTATCAGTTTACATATAAAGTTATTTCCATAATGTTTTTTGTGAAACTAATTTGTAATTACAAGTTCCATACAATCTCTCATATTCACCCTAACATGCAACTAACGGCATGTTTTCAAATTTCTCCTTTGATATTAAATTCAAAGGATTAAGGCAATGCCGCGTTCAAATTCTTTGTCTGAATCTTTTTTTCTCCACTTCCTGTCACGAAATCTTTAGAAAAAATCTTTGAAAAATTTTACCTCTTGTCTAACTTCGATAAAATAAAGTTATCATTTAGATTGTAGAATCACTGCCAGCCAGGTGGAAGTGATTCAAGCACTGAATGGTCATTCGGGATTGTTTGGGGTCAAACTCATCAATGATGCCGACTGTTAGTCTCAGGTCACAGGGAGTTGAGTCAGTTAAAGCCACTGTAGCTCTTACTGAGTACTTTGAGGGTCTGGTAATGCACAAAATTGAATCCATCACTCCATTTTTTTTGGAAATCAAAAAATATTCGAATCCCAATATGTAACCTGTTTGATGCCAGAAATAGCAATCAATTGGTGGTTTTCTACTACTCAAATTTATCTATCAGTAATATATATTGCCATGCTAATTTTTATTGTGCCTTTTTCTAATATGGTTGGGTTCTCTGGGAAGCTGACCTCAATGTGAAGTAGGTGTTTTGGAACTCTCCATGAATGATAATACATCAGCGTCTCCTAACGACCTTTTCTGCTACTGGTTCCTTTCAGGGATTTCCTTATTCTTACGTTCATTCCTTTAGGTACTGGTCGTTTGAGGGAATTGGAATTTTAATCTTTTTGTCACATGACATGTTCTTTGTTGGCTGTTAAGTTTGATCTATGCCCGTTGAGTGAAGTTCTGTTTGAGTACCAATCGGGCTTTTAGAGATTATTTCCACTGTTCAAAAAATTTCCACCTTTTCCCATTCCAACTGGTGTATATATTTGTCTGCATGTATGGATATGAAGGGATACCTGTTATATGTTTTGTTGGCCAGTTTATGATCTTGGATCCAAAGTCAAAGGGGACATCTTACTTTGATCAATAAAGTACTTCTGTAGGGGACTGTCTAGAGAGCCCAATAACATAATATATATGTGAATAAAAATCCAAGTCAATGAGATGATAGTGTAACAATACATTATCAAAAATGCAGTAATTATTATTATTATTGTTTCCTTTAATTCCTGGAGGAATATAGGGCTTCAGCCGTGCGTCGCCATTGAGTTCGGTTCTCTGCTAGAGTCTTCACCTAGCTCCAAGTCTGCCCACACGCTTTCATCTCCTCTTCACACAACCTCCTCCAAGTCACCCTCACACTGACGACCAACTCGCCGCTTCCCATTCGGCCGGGTTCCACTCGAGTAATGGCTTGCCTAGTAATGTCACTTGATGGTTTCCTCAGAGTATGGTCAATCCATCTCCATTTCTTCCTGCCTATTTGTCTCTTAATCGGTTCCTGGTTGGTTCGCTCATTCTCAGAGATCTCTATTGCTGATCTTTTCTGGCCGGCCATCTTATCTTGAGTATTGAGCGAAGACAACTGTTAATGAAGGTCTGTAGTTTGTTTGAGATGCTCTTTATGATGCGCTGGCCAAGTCTCTGATCCGTATAGTGAGTAGCACTGACTTCACATTGGAGTTGAAAATCTGGATCTCATTTCTGATGCTGAGTGCTGTTGACCTCCACACAGGCAGTAATGAGTTATATTAATAAAAAGGTAACTTGGATATACTGTTAAAGTCCACGACTAAAAATTATTAATATAATTCACAGAGGTGTTCAATGTTGGTATCGTGTCTACTGGTAGAAGCTGTGTGCCGGTTGTGGAGTTGTCTTCGGATAAGGATAATAGGTTCCTGTAATAAATCCAAAGTATACAACACGGTATGAGTGGAGCAAGTAGACAGTAGTGGCCAGTGAGAAGGCGAAGTTACCAAGAGTATAGTGTATTTCGAATTTTACTCAGAAGTTATATGTATTTAAACATGAATCATTTTAAACAAGAGTCATGTACAATGTTTCTAATTTCAACATCTGAACCAAAAAGTGTACAATCATATTGTTTCGTACTCCACACTTCTCACAATGCTGCAATTCATCTTGTAAATACTGTTGATCTGGTCTTCTTTCGCCGCCTAGTCTTCTGGTCTTCCTACTCTTAAGTGAAATGACTGTTTCGCTACTCATCCACCGAAAGGTTTAGAACACAGGGCCTTCTGGTTATAAGGCTAGCGAGCTCGTTGACCGTTTGGCTATTGAGACCCGATCTAATGGCCAAGCAATGGATTCCAACTTTTTCGAATTCATGATATAGAGCGACAGGCACTAGACAATGTCATAGTAATACATTTCATTGAACTTCCCTTCACCTTCACCTTTTTTATTGTTGTCATCATTGCACTTCTATTTATTTTTTTGACAACAGCTGAAATTTTTTGAAGATCTTGATACTAGTTCAATCATTTAATAATCCTTTAAAACATTTCGTGATTCATCCATTTTAATGCTACCCTCTTGTTCATTATATTGTTATGATTCCCTTTGGTTCCGAGTGGAACATAGGGCTTCAACAACACATCTCCACTTTCTTCTATTCTCTGCTGTCCTATTCAGCTGGCGAGCTCCACGATTGACCATAATCCTCCTCCATGTCACCCCCTCACTAACGACCCACTCGTCGCTTCCAGTCCGGATCCCACTTGAGTGATGATCTGCATTGCGCGCGATGTCATTCGATGGCCTCCTCAATGGCGTATGCCCAATCAATCCATCTCCATTTCCTCCTACGTATTTGTTGAGCAAACGGATCTTGCTTGTTGGTTTGTTGCCAGCCAGAGTTTCTTCTTGCTAATTCCTTCCGGCTGGCTGGCAATTTTATCTTCAGTATGGAACCAGCCTGAACATAGAGAAAACAGAGGTAATGAAGATTCCTGGGCAACACCACCATCAGCAACAACAACAACAACAGACAACGATCAGCATAAATGGGAGGAACCTGAAAGAAACAACCTCCTTTACCTACCTACCTACCTACATGGAAAGCATCCTTTCAACTACAAGCGGAACTGACGAGGATATCAAAGCAAGAATCGGAAAAGCAAGACAAGCTTTCAATACTCTCAAGTCTGTGTGGAGGTCAACAGCACTCAGCATCAAAAATAAGATCCGAATTTTCAACTCCAATGTGAATTCAGTGCTACTATTCGGATCAGAGACTTGGCCAGCGCGTCATAAAGAGCACCTCTAACAAACTACAGACCTTCATTAACAGTTGTCTTCGCTCAACACTCAAGATCAGATGGCCAGCCAGAAAAGATCAGCAACAGAGATCTCTGGCAATGAGCGAACCAACCAGGAACAGATTGTGAAACAAATAGGAAGGAAGAAATGGAGATGGATTGGCTGGCCATACTCTGAGGAAACCATCAAGTGACATAACTAGACAAGCCATTGCTCGAGTGAAACCCGAAAGGGAAGCGGCGAGTCAGTTGGTCGTCAGTGCAAGGGTGACGTGGAGGATGTCATGTGAAGAGGAGATGAAAACGTGTGGGCAGACTTGGAGCCAGGTGAAGACTCTAGCAGAGAACCGAACGCAATGGAGAGGCACGGCTGAAGCCCTATGTTCCTCTAGGAATTAAAGGAAACAATTATAATAATAATAATGGAACCAGCCAGCGAATTGGGCAGCTGTTGATGACAGTCTGTAACTTGTTGGAAATTCTTTTTCGTCAAACGCCCTCTCTTAAACATCCTGTTAATTGTCTTTGTTCTTATCATATACGTATTTGACTGCAGGGTAAATTTTAGTGCCACTTAATACCTTCTTGTGTTATATAAATACGAGTGTAAACCTTGGAAGTGAAGTCACCGATGAGAAATATTTTTCTGTTTTTCTTTATCCAATAATTTTGTTTTCACACAGTACAATATAATTTCACCAAGTTTACCGTATATTTACTTAACAGGTACAGAAGACGAATCCGATTCCATACGTCATTATCTAATCGAAGGCTTACAGTCAACAGCTAGTGGATTACATCATGCAGTCGGTGTATCTGGAGTAATCCTACCTCCATCGAATATTCCTATGGACCAATCGGCTTTAAGTGTTACACATGAAGCCGTTAGACTTCGAGGATCTTCAAATGAACCAGTATTTACCAATCTAGTCAGCTTATTATATGAGCATATAATTCAACCATTGGCTTTACCATGCGTATTGCGATTGCCTTTCAAATCCCCTGCTCCAATCAATAGTCTTCCTTCATTGATAACCTTGACAAAAAATATGGATCGTATATCTCCGGTTCAAGTTGCCCCCAAGTATACATCACAAGTTGGAGCTTATCATCCTGGTATGTCTGTGTTATTGATTATTTTAAGCGTTTAGTTTTTTTTAATTCTTTACTAATGGTCAAGTGTTTCAAATACTTTGACGTGAATTCCACCTCAACTGTTGAATGTGCTTATATTGTTTATTTTGAGACTTCAAGGTCGATGGATTTTATCTTCCTTCCATCATGCGAATATAACTACCGTCTTGTGTTCCCCGATTTCATAATGGTTTCTTTTCAAACTAACATCAGTTCATTTGTAAGAAATTATATTTGTAAAATCTCAGCGAAATTGAAATGAGTAATTCCAACGTTCCCTGCGTTCGGCAATCTGGTCCGAACTTCTTCAGGGAAATTAATCGAAATTAACATAACAGAGGTTTATATGTAAAAGGAACATCTCTTGTTTTTAAAGACTTTGTCCAATCATGAGTCATTCAGCAAGTATAATAAACAAAATTTTATGAGCTGTGATCAAAATTTGACCTCGGAATTACAAATACTGGTCTACCTTTGTTAAACACTTTAAACACAGTGCGTATATATATGTGTGTGTGGGTAAACAGTTGTAAAACATTTCTTAACGTCTCCATAAGAAGAAATGGACAGTCGAGAATTTTGACCAAGTATTAATAATTAGTGATACATATCCATTTTTATTTATTAATAAGGATTTCCTATGCATCGGCTAACATCACACCTTCATGTCTGTTCACACTGTTAGTATCTAGAATTTTATGATTAGACGTATTTTCAAAATAATGGTGTTTAGGATTAGAGTTTAGTAGAAGCGCCCTGTCGGACTTATTGCATTGTCTTCTTTCTGAATATTGAGCTGCTTTATTCGACCTACTGGAGTTGTCAGGTGACTCGACAGCTACGGATTTAGGATATGAATTATTCTGTTGCAGCCAACGGAGAGTGAAAACACGATGATTGTGCCAATTACATAGTTTCTTTGTTAATTTAATTCGATAGCAAAATAATTCAAATGAACTGTCGTCAAGATTTGAAAGAATGATGTTCCTTTTAAATATAAACCTCTGTTATGTTAATTTCGATTAAGTTCCCTGAAGAAGTTCGGACCAGATTGCCGAACGAAACGTTGGAATTACTCATTTCAATCTCGCTGAGATTTTACAAATATAATTTTTTACAAATGTCTACTTCTCACTCGGCGCCTAAATATTTTATAACTGTTCTATCAAATCTTGACGACAGTTTATATGAATAACATCAGTTCAAACTATATTCAACTGTAGAATGAAGTGAAGCCTTAAGTTTATGACAGTCGTTAAATAATCGCCACCAGAAATTCTTTTCTAATAATCTCTTCTGAAGTGGGTCACTTGAGAGTCCAGACACCACTCCTTCTGTTTCAAGAGTTTAAGAGTAGCCTGGGCAACCAGTACTCCATAGGGATATAGATTATTTTTTGGATTTTGAACTCCTCCGCTGCTACATCCCCTGAGATACTCCAAAATGATGGGAAGGAAAAGAGAAGACTGGTATGATCCATAATCAGTATTATAAAGAGGAAAGTTGATATATGTGTAAAACCTGAGCACTGTGGTTGTTAGTAATTCCATATTAGTTTGTTTATTAGATATATCACACAGACAATGAAACAGTACTATTGTTTACTGTATGACATGGTGTCGAACACAATATATTGCTGTTCATAATCATATCAATTATAATCACACGACTTCGAAACTTGAGTTGTATAGTTTTCTTTATTCTTTCCTATTTGTCGTCGTGGGTAGGGGTAGTAAAATTTTCCAGATGGTCGGGGGTACAGGTGTTGAATCATTCCTATTACACGTATTCTCAGCCAGTTGATTCGATGAACAAAGCTTCCGTTATCAATCTTTCCCTCCACCATGCTGTTACATTAGATTTTAAAACTGTCATCTTATCCCATCCCATCCTATGCTGTATGGTTGTGTGTAATTGCATGTAGTGAGTGCTATAGCTGAACTATTCTCCAGATTTCTTTTTTTACTGTAGAGTCAACTAATCTAGATTTTCCTGCCTGGTTATTGTGTCCCACTTGTCGGATTGATGTCGCTTTATTACTTTGGCCTATGTACTTGACCGGGGTACTATATAAGCTGAGTCGTTTTGTTTAATTGGTTCAACAGGATCATTTAACCGACAAAGCTTATTTTGACAATGCAGGAATAAATATGGTATTCAAACACACAAACTCAATTAGAAATAAGCTCTGTTGACACTAATAAGATAAGAAATCTAGAGAATAGTTCAGCTATAGCACTCACTACATGCAATTACACACAACCATACAGCATAGGATGGGATGGGATAAGATGACAGTTTTAAAATCTAATGTAACAGCATGGTGGAGGGAAAGATTGATAACGGAAGCTTTGTTCATCGAATCAACTGGCTGAGAATACGTGTAATAGGAATGATTCAACACCTGTACCCCCGACCATCTGGAAAATTTTACTACCCCTACCCACGACGACAAATAGGAAAGAATAAAGAAAACTATACAACTCAAGTTTCGAAGTCGTGTGATTATAATTGGCGATATGATTATGAACAGCAATAGATTTTTTCCTAAACTTTGTCATGCAGTAAACAATAATGCTGTTTCAGTGACTGTGTGAAATATCTGATAAACAAACTAATATGGGATAAAGAGAAGAGATTTAAACTTTTATATCCTTCCAAGTATAATAGATTATTCACACCATGAATCATACATGTGGTCTTCCTTTGAAAACTTTCTGAAATATATGGGTCCCCCTTAAGACATGAACTGGCCGTATGGATGCAGTTTTCTAGTTTTGTTCTGATCGGAGTTGCACATAAAGTGGTGAACGTCTCACTGATGATTGTAACGAGCGCTTTGCTTGTCACCTACAAAGATCTAGGTCATTAATAATACGACACCTAGTTCCGTGTGCATCTGAATTTGTAAGAATGGTATTCTTTCTCTATCGTATCAGCCGACGTTTGCATGCCTAGTGATTACGGTTGCGCACTTCGCTACCTTGGTCTAGGAGCATCCATTCTTAAGACCAATCTAAGAGTTTGTTGAAATCCTGCAACATGAGCATTTTGGTGTCATCCTTACCCTCCCTGTATGTCTCTCCAAATTTTTAGGTCACCTGCGTAGAGAATCTCATGAGGTTTGGCGGGCCCAAGTAATAGGTTGATTTACAGGGTAGACATCAAGGAAGTGGGTGGGCTAGTATGGTGTTACGTGGCAATCCACTACGTATTGTTGTCCAGGAAGAGAGATTTGAGTTGATCCTAACTGTGTGTCCCCCAGCTATAAAGACTAACTTTGAAATAATAGAGAAGATTTGTAGCTCAGGTGGATGATTTGCAATTAAAAGTGTTCTCTGAGCTGGTTGGTTTAGTTACGAAGCTTTCGTCGTCCTTCCGGACAACATCTTCAGCGCCATATTTAGCACAAAGTGAAATGGTTTAAATTCCTTCATGAGTGATGTAATTGCGTCTCCTGGTAACTATCTTTACATATGTATTGACCATTTTCTATTGACTAGGATTTTAAACTTTTCGGTCACCTGATTTACTTTTTATTAGTTGGTATATTTCACCTATATAACCGTGTTTGTTAATCGCATTTTCGCTTGAGTACCAGGCTTCTAGGAATTCTCTGGCACTTTTCGTGTTTCCTCTATCTAAGATTTCGACATTACCCCAATCAAATTGATGTCCATAATTGTCGATATGCATCGATACTAAAAAATATATATCGTGTCTTTTCACGGCTGATTTGTATTCTTGGATTCTGATTCCGAGGAGACGCCCACTTTGGCCGATGTAATGCTTGTTGCAGTTCATACAATTTATTTTGTAAATGGTATTAATTTTATCCCCTTTTTCTGTTGGATCTTTCGGTTTGCACAATATGGAATTAAGTGATTTGACTGGCTGGCTTGTGTGCTATATCCCTATCAAACGGTTTCAGTATTCTAGCTGTTATTTCAGAGATATTCCTCATGTATGGTAGAATGAATTTTCTTGTGGTCTTTGATGATGGTTTCTTGTTGGTGTTTTGATTCAACTTTAAACACTTTTTGATGAAATTTTGTGGATAACCATTCTTTTTGAAGACCGTTTGTAGGTACTTTTCTTCCATTCTTTTCAGCTCTGGAGTGCTACAATGTGTTTGAACTCTTTTAAACAATGTCTGCACACAGTTTCGTTTGTGAGTAACTGGATTATTGCTAGTATAGTTGAGTATTTGATCTGTGTGCGTTGATTTTCTATAAACTTGTGTCTCTAAATCTCCTGTGTTGGTTCTCCCGATTAAGACATCTAAAAATACGATTTTGTTATCTAATTCTTCTTCTCTCGACCAAAGTGGGCGTCCCCTTCGAATCAGAATCCAAGAACATAAATCAGCCGTGAAAAGACATGATATGTATTCGTTAGTATCAATGCATGCAGACAACTATGGTCATCAGTTTGATTGGGATCATGTCAAAATCTTAAACAGAGGAAACACGAAAAGTGCCAGAGAATTCCTAGAAGCCTGGTACTCAAGCGAAAATGCGATTAACAAACACGGTTATATAGGTGAAATATACCAACTAATAAAAAGTAAATCAGGTGACCGAAAAGTTTAAAATCCTAGTCAATAGAAAATGGTCAATACATATGTAAAGATAGTTACCAGGAGACGCAATTACATCACTCATGAAGGAATTTAAACCATTTCACTTTGTGCTAAATATGGCGCTGAAGATGTTGTCCGGAAGGACGACGAAAGCTTCGCGACTAAACCAACCAGCTCAGAGAACACTTTTAATTGCAAAGATTAACTTTATCTAGTTCACCAGGCGGCCCTTTTGATTCCAAAACTTTCCTAATTCATGAACAGTCTTGTATGAGGTATATACCAACTCACTTGCTTCTGTGGAGCGAGATACATAAATCGTTCGATGCATGATTTATCTAAAACAATCAATGAAAATTATGCTGCTTGGCTGCAAAAAGGTAACAATGGATCAATAAGGAGTGTTATAATTCAATACGCTGTAAGGAGTTTTATAATGGGTTTTAGTATTCTCACTGCTTTGTATCTCCTTATAAAATTCTCTAGGTAATTATTTTCAACCACAGTTACTACTGATATTCACTAGAGAAAACATTTTTCAACTTTTCGTTTTGTTTTTAGCCCGAGATAGTCCTCATGGTGGTGTACTACTTCGACATCCATCAGACCCATTACCTGCTGACTCAGGATCTTATGAAATGGAGTCATATTATCCACCACCACCACACCACCATCATCAGCAACAACAACAACAACCAGGTATGCCTCCATTACCGTCTAGTATGCACCACTCAGCTAGACAAGATGGTCTTCTAATTGTCCCACCATCTGGGAGTAGTTCAAAAGTACGACAAAGTAGATCTCCACCTGCTGTATATGAAGGTGAAATGGGACCGATTCTACCACCTGATACAGGAAAAAGTAAGTCACTTTTTAGAAATTTTAAGGGTGGGTGGTTCAGAGGTGGAAAACTCGCCAACCACGCATATGGTCGGGATTTAGATCCCCGGCAGGCGTACTCGTAAACCTCCCTTACTGGGCAGTAGGATTGATGAGAAGGAATGGTTGGGTTGAAGGCTAGTAACCGCACCCCGTAAGAAATAAACGTCACTGCTGTTGTAGCTTCGAAGCTCAAGCTTGTAGCTCTGTGTTCCGCTCGTCTGGCAAGGAGGTAATAATAATACATTCCTTCTAAGAGATCAAGAACTATAAGTTAGAAATTGTTCTTTCCATCGAACAAATCAGACGTTTTAGTTGTGCGTATGATTCAGAACACCGGATATGTCCAAATAGATAAGGGTGAAAAGGCAGAAATTTAGAAACCTTGGCTCATGAGACGTGTCTAGGCCCAGTGTCATCAGAAGCGTTAACACAGTGGGACAACAAAATAAATAGTTGAGCCATGCCAATATCACCCATGATCAGATATGTACGACGTGAGAATGTAAAGAACAAAGAAAAATGGGGTTACGTTAAACAAGGTTTGAGAGAGAAGAAGCAGAACGTAGGAGAGACATCTGATTGAGATGTTTTGGGGGTTGGGGTATTACCTCCCGGCCAACACCAATATGGGAATTGGCTTCTTGTTGGGGCATCTGAAACGGAAATAGCACTGGCGTTGCGTAACCGCACAGCCCATGGGAAAACTGCTTCCTACCAAGTCACAAATAGATTTTGGAATTGCGTCCGTACTGCGACCTTACCACCCGCTACGGACGGCTGAAAAGCAAGTCGGAATGTAAACATTTTGAGGCGGACAGACAGCACATAGATGGCTTGTTGGTCATCTAAGGGAAGCAACACCTTACTGCTGTTGCACCCCCTATTCGCCAGCAGTACAACTTTGTGCACAGACTCCTGACATAGTGTAAATCATTCACACTATGACGGTAACTGACTTTACTCTAACCGCTATCCAAACGACATTTCTGGTATGGTGAGACCTGTACGGACATTAGCTGCATGCAGTGTAGTTCACTGAGTCATTTCGACATGCAAGACTGACCACTGCGTCAAGGTAGCAGCTATCGGTCAGGAAGGGCAAAAGCAAATACAGTTGAATCATGCTAGTTCACAAAATACAATACTAACACATTCAAAGAGATGTAATTGCGTAGAAATAAACGACTGAGGTTACTTACAACTAATAAGTAGTATAAAGTTTTACACTAAAAAGAAAAAATCGGTAACCGATCAATTGAAGTTAGGTAAGAAATGATGACTAAGGACATGGTTCACTGAAAAATCGCATATGCCACTACTCCGCGTTGTAATCTTTGCTAAATAAACATTATGTGCAGAAGAAATTTTCTTGTGACAATTTATGTATTCAGAGCAAATTCCTAAATGGCTGCAAAAGCAAATAGAATCCGCAGAACCCATTTATGGTGAGAACAGGAGACCTGGCTCCTCCGCTGTGTAGCATTTCATTGAGACAAGCCAAAAAACTAAAGTTTACACGTCTTTTAAACCTATCTATGGAACTTGTTTGAGGGAGGGCGTATCCTAAAGTTTGTGGAAGTCCTAGCTGGCAATTGAGAAGTATGAACCACCTTTATGCGTTTATCAAAAACAATTCGTCATGATCACACTAAACCTTTCCCGGTACACTTTGTTTTGATAGCAGCCAGGGCAGATGTACTATTACCTCTGCTATTTGGTTTAGTGGTCGTCACTGTTATTTTGACTTTCACTATGTCCTTTTAACTTGACCTAAGTAGTATATATTTTCTCACCTCTTAACTCTTTATTAATTTCATGTATATTTCTATGACAAGTCCGTGGAGTGTGATCAGATTGTTCGAAATGTGTTGTGCATATGCACATTACACGATTCAGACAAATTACGTCTTCTTATTATATTATTATCATTGTTCCTTTGGGTTCCTAGTGGAACATGGGGCTTCAACTGCACGCCTCCACTTGCTTCTGTCTTCTGCCGTACTTTTCACTTGCATCCATGTTATTCCATACTGTTTCATCTCCTCCTCACAAGATCTCCTCCATGTCACCCTTGGACGTCCCACTCGCCGCTTCCCTTTCGGGTTCCACTCGAACTATGGCATGACGCGCGATGTCGCCCAACGGCCTCCTCAGCGAGTGTCCAATCCATCTCCACTTTCTCCTGCATATTTGTTGAGCGATTGTTTTGTGTGTTCCCATAGTTTCTTGTTGGTGATTCTTTCCGGCCATCTGATCTTAAGTATAGAACGAAGACAGTTGTTGATAAAGGTCTGCAACAGGCTGTTGGAAATATTCTTTGTGACACACTGGCCAAGTTTCTGATCCGTATAGAAGAAGTGACTGACTTGACGTTTGTATTGAAAATCCGAATTTTGTTGTTGATGCAGGCTGAGTGACGAAGATTTCCAGATTGGTTTCAGGTTGATGAATGTGTTTCTCGCCTTCCCGATTCTCGATTTGACATCCTCGTCTGTTCCTCCTGTGGTTGAGACAATGCTCCCTAAATAAGTGAAAGAAGTAACCTCTTTCAAATCCCTCCCGTTGATGGTGATTGGCGCTGGATGTTGCTGCTGTTGTTGTTGGTTGGTTATTTTCATAACCTCCGTCTTGTCTATGTTCACCTGGAGTCCTGCGTTTGCTGCTTCTTCGACCAGTTTGTCGGTTTTCGCTTGTAAATCTTCGATTTTGTGTGACATCGAACATAAATCATCCAAGCGCGAAATCCAGGTCTTCTAGGTTCTTCACGTCGGTCAGTACAGGATATCCCTGTCTCCTCGTTTCCTACTGTCTGACGCATAATCCAGTCCACCACAATTAGGAATATCATTGGTGATAATAAGCACCCTTGTCTGACTCCTGTGTTTACTCCAAACGCCTGGCTGATTTTTCCGTTGTTGACCACTTGACATGTGCCGTTGTCGTACAGCTGTTGAATACGGGTTGATGAATATTTGGGGTACGCCGTAGTACTCGAGTAGTTTCCAGATTACTTCGCGGTCAACGCTGTCGAAATTGTCTAAATTCATAACGAAAACTAATTGTTTTAAATTTTTGTAGTGTTATAAATCGTCCCGTGGATTCCGAGTGGAAAATACAGGGTTTCCGAAGCACATCTCCAGTTCACCTTGTTTTCAACAGTCTCTTTCACCTGGCTGCACGATCTCCCCACAGGCTTTCATCTCCTCCGCACACAATCTCCTCCATATAAATTCAGGACTGTTGCCAAATTTGTCGCTGCCCATCAGGGTTTCACTGGTTGGCTTAGCTGTCACACTGTGTCACTCAACTGTCTCCTCAGCGAATGTCCAATCCATTTCCATTTCTTAGATTAAACACTAGTCAGTAACTAGTGTAATGTGTCTAGTCCTTTGTTTGGTGCAGACAATTCACAGTGTACCATGACGTTCAGTTACCTAGAATGGTAGCCACATTGTGAACTTTACTGATAGAATTCAGTCTGCACCAAACGAAAGACTAGACACATTACACTACTTACTGACTAGTGTTCAATCAAAGCCTCCAATACAGTCAGTTCTACTTATGAATTATCAAAAACACTTAGCTCTAATATAATACCCCATTAAAAATCGTTCAATATCTAGACTAACTAATTCATATAAGATAAAAACAGAAACTAAATGTCATTCAACTAGAGAATGATGAAACAATGGTTAGTTTTGATATAACTAGTCTTTATACTAATATACCTATTAAAAAGGGCCTTAGAAGCATTTAAAAAAGAACTAACTACAGATCCTGAACTTACTCATTAGAATGAAGCTACCCATTGAGGAAATTATTTTAGCAATTCAGTTATGCCTCACATCTACTATCTTTAAATTCCAAGGCAAAATATATAGACAAACAGAAGGTGTAGCAATGGGACGAATCACCAATATCCCCTATTGTAGCAGATATATTTATGGATAGCTGGGAAAATATGGCACTTAATACGTTTAATCCTACTCCAAAAATATGGTGAAGACATGTGAATGACACTTTCACAGTGTTAAAAACAGAATATATCTCTAACTTACTCACACACATATAAACCCAATACTAAAGGGAATAAAATTCACATTTGAATCGAAAAACGACCGAGGAGAATTAGCAATGATTTTAGACTGTAAAATAAAACGAATGGAAGAAGGTAGACTGAACACTAGTCTTTATAAAAAGCCAACGCATTCTGTTAACAGATATTTTGAACTTTAATTCATCTCATCTGTCGTTGTCTGTAAAGGCATGCTTAGTTAACTGTCTAACAAACCGAGTAGTAGCACTAAGTAGCACAAAAAAGACCTAAATGATGAAATGAAACAGATAGAAGAAGCGTTGGTGTTAGATAACTATGCTATAAAATTCATTCGGAAGATCAAAAAAGGTGAAAAGCAAAATAAAAATAATGATGAAACTAACAGTGGTAACATAAATAAGAAAGAATATGAGGCATCTACAGTATTACGATATGAGGAAGGAACATCTGAGACCCAACGTAGGATTCTCAATAAAGCAGGAATTAGGGTGACATTTAAACCTACAAACTCACTCAGATAGGACAAGCTCTGTAGGCCTTGCAGGTTGACCAAATTAGAAAAAATATTATTATTTACAAAATATCTTGCAATGACTGTGTAGGAGGTCAACTACATAGGTCAAACTAGTAGATCGAGGGTAGTGAGATTATCAGAACATAAGAATTTACCCGCATGGGAAATGATTGACCCCACAAAGATAAGTAATTTATAAAAAGGCTCAGCAACTGCACTTCATGCATTAACAAACAACCACACAATAGGGTAGGATAGGGTTAAAATTCTAAACAGTAACATAGGTAGGTGGAGAGATAGATTGATTACGGAATTCTTGTTCATTGCATCTACACCTAACACATGCACTGGGAATGAGTCACCACTTATACCGGAAATATGCAAAATACTACTACTAATCAAATCAAGCGATGGAAATTAATGGAATTATATAAACGAAGTTGGAAAAATGTGTGAGTACTGCTTTGATATGAATATGAGCAGTTAGAAATTGTAACCGAAACGTGGTCATCAGTAAATATTACTGTATAACACTGTAAGACTTTATCAAAACAAATTTTATCCATAATGGAGTCCTACAGGAGATCATTCGCGAGCCCGAGTAGCTCAGCTGTCTGACACAAGTTCGAATCTCAGGAGGGACATGACTTCCTTCAAGTTTGCAGATACGCCTTGCTGACTGGTGTGTGTGTGACAACAAGCACGAAACCCAAGTTTCCAACACTTCCTGTTAATTGCCTCCACCGACCACCCAATACCATCTCCACTTTATTCTGCCTACTTGTTGCGGAGTAAGTTCTCGGTTTGCTATTGACCATCTGTTCGAGTCCACTACTGCCTATCCTCCTTTCATGTCGGTCAGCTGATCTTCAGTATCGAGACAGCGAAGGCATCTGTGGATGACAGCTTGCTTTTCATGATACCTCAATTCTAATAGTTTTTTTCCAAATAGCTATAAACGAGCACTAGTCAAGACTCTGTACTATAGAGCAAGGAGAATATGCTCTGCAGAGAAACTAGAGGAAGAATTTATGATTCTCAAAAAGGTGCTGAAAAACAACAGTTACCCTCAAAGATTCATTAACAAATTTGGAAAATATGAAGGCTCAAATACCAAACAAATCACAGTGGAAAAAAGCCTGTCTTCATTCAACTAGATTTTAAGGGGTGAAAACATTGCAGAAATGGTCAACAGAAGACTGAGAACTTCACTAGCCAGAGCCTATCCTGCAGCTAAGTTGGTTCCCGTCCACCGAACAACATGCTCTTTGGTGCAGTCAAAAGTCGATAGATACTCTTCTCATGTTAACTCCAACTGTGTATACAAATTTACGTGTATCTGTGGGAGCAGTTACATTGGAAGAACAGAAAGAAGGGCACACCTCCGATTTTCTGAACATGTGCCAAAAAGCCCACGTCTCAAGGGAACAAACTCTTATAGCAGCGCTATTACTAGACATCTCGACACGGGTCATGAGGTAGAAATCGAGAAATCCTTTAAAATTATCAATAGACAAAGAAGTTCCATTCTCCTCAAGTTTGCCGAAGCAATCTCTATCAAACGCTTGAAACCAGATTTATGTGTTCAGAAAGAAGCAGTTATTAATCTTTCTTTGCCCTGGTAACTGAATGTCTTTATTTTCTCATCTGATTACGTAATCTTTGTCTTTAACCTCACCCCCTTTTTGTAATCTGTAATTTTCCTTGTCTCTAGTTTCTATGATTTGAGTTGAACTCAGTACATTGTTACCCAATTTATTAGTCACTCTGTATCTAACGCATATTTCGTCTTTATTACGTAACTCTTTTACCATTGTATGCATACATCTATTTACTCTAATTACTCATTTCAATATGGCTGAGATATTACAAATATAATTTTTTACAAATGTATACATCTATTTTGTTTAAAATTGACCTGCCTGTGTAAAAACTATATAAGCGCAATTTTCTGAGCACTGTTCACTAATTGTGGAACCTTCTATCAACTGACACCATGAAAAATTTGCAAATATGTTAAAAGTTTTCTGCAAATAAACCTCATAATTTATTTAGGCTGTAAGTAAGCAGTTGATGAGAAGCCTACGAAATAAATGATGGTACCATATTATTCTCCACAAACCACTGTTGTTCTTGCTTTATTCAAATACTCCAAGTCTCTATCTATTATCTTTCAGTGTAGAGGATATCCACTTAAGATGACTTCTGTATAGAATATTAAAATCGATTCTTCAGTTCAAGCAAGAATTAGAAAGAATCTTATTCCTCCTTAGAACTAAGCAGACTAGTGTAGTCTATTTTCTTTGCCTAAGTTACCGTCTGTTCTATGCCAAACTATGTGAACATACTGCAGGTTATCTTAAATTACAAATTATTATTATTGTTATTTTTATTACTGTTGTTTAAATAATCTGTATACTTCCTGACCATCTGTTTATGGAGATAAGAAAGAGTGTAGGCTTTTATCAGGAAAGATAATCAGTTGAAGGGAATGTTTGCAGACACATATGTTACATACACTATCATCACTGTTGTTGCAATCAGTGATGACATCACTGAATTGTGAATAAATAATTGCAGGCAGTCTCTGAGATCAAAGAGAGTGGGAGTATTCAGTCACTTGCTTATATAAACATTTTCAGCATAAGACCTCCTTATTCAGATGTAAGTTTGCATGGATTTGATTGATTGGTTACAGGATTTCATCATGTGCTGACATCGATTAGAGAACCACCTATGTGAGCTCATGATGAAATATTATATATCTGATGCTTACTAGTGAGTGGTCCTATTCAGGTGAGAAATCATTATCGGTGGGGTCGAACACCAGGTCGGATGTGAGGAAAAATACTCGCCACAGACGACACTGGCTAGTGCCAGTCGCTGCATATCATGAATTGGAAGAAGTTGGAACTCATGAGCTGGCCATTTTATCTGGTCCCAGTGACTGAATTGTTTACGAGCTTGCTAGTCTTGTAACTGGAAGTTCCTGGATTCGAACCCTGGTGCCAGGTGAGTAATGACGAAGAGCCTCGTACTAGGCTGATGAAACAGTTGGCTGCCAACACTCCCAAGTGGTATTCCAGTGGTTCTCCTACTGATATCAATCCATGAACAAAAAAATTGAAACAGATCAAGCCCCTACAAAGAAACTCTTGAAAACTATGCACATCTAAGCCCAAAAAACTGGCACATCTCTAATGGTTCTCTGTACTTCTTTATAAATTTTAAAGTTTTTATTTGTTATTTTTAGTCAAACTAATGGCTATTACAAATACCATTTAGAATAGAATATCTCGTATTTGCTGAGTTGGAAGTATATATGTGAAAAATATATCCTGGTTTCAAGTCCCACTCCATCTTATTTACCCTGTATAACTCTGAAAATCAATCCTGAATGTGTTTTAAGCTTTTGCGACCGTATTAACAAAACTTTTTCAACAATATTTACATACTGTTTTTATTTTTCACAGCATTCACCTCCATTTACTTGGGAAGTATTGACACGGAAAATCTGACGGGATCATCAGCGATACGAAAAGCAGTCGACGTCCTACTGGAAAATGCAGCTCAGGTAAGTGAGTTGTTGTCATATCAACTTTTGGCACGGATGTTTCGATGCCCATTGCAAAAAAGGTGATTCTCGTGGCCCCAGTGGTCAGCTGGATCATACCTTGACATTTGAAAGGACTGGTTATGGATTTGAGTCTCAGTGGAGACATCGTCACTCACTCACTGGCGATTGCAGGTACGTCCAGGCGACGAGTCCTAAATAGGACGAAATGAGTATCGTGTTGGATGCCACTACTATACACCATCCATCAGATTACTATTTGGGTGCGTATTTGTGTGCGCAAGTGTTAATACGTATCTAAAAGTTCTCATAATAGAGTGAAATGTCACCATCACTATATACAACGACACAAACACACAAGCCGTGTCGAATTGACCACTGCCTTAACAGAATTTTTCAAACTGCTGACAAGAAAAACTTAAAATGAAAAATCACCTATTCGTAGTTTAGTCTATAATGCTATTAAAACATCATAAACCATGTGTTCGATGCAGTCCATTGAAAAGGACACTATGAAAAGCTATGACGACTGATCATGGGATGAACTTCGTAGAGTTTCAATGAAAAGTCGCCTATCATGATGACAGATACTAACAGAAGTCAGATAATGACGTTGTGTTGCTGAATAACAGAAGGTAGAATTCACACCTATTGGTTTAATGATAAGATGTTCACTATGGTACATATACTACTTATTGATATGAGTAGTGCTTAATAGTCAACGATGTAGTAATTCCATATTCTTTTGTTTATTAGATGTATCACACAGTCAGTGAAATAGTATTATTTACTGGATGACAAAGTTTCGAACACAATTTATTTATTGTTCACAATCATATCGCCAATTATAATCACACGACTTCGAAACTCCAGTTTTATAGTTTTCTTTATTTTTACTTTTACCGTCTTCACTCCGAACGCCTCACTGACACGTGGCACTGTCATATATCCAGCTGCCGAATGAGCTTGATAAAGACTTCGAGTACCTCACACCGTAGTTTTGGAGCAGTCCGACAATCTCTCCAAAGCCCAAAATCTGAACACCAATTAACGATAAACCCTGGACAAAAAACTGTAAAATCCAGTGGTTTTTCACCAGGTCTGATTAATTTTAGTCAAATATAAACTCCTCATTATTTTAGGTTAATCCAATACAAACGGAAATGCATCTCTGGCTTGGAGCCAAGTGTTTTTTGGAACAGATAAACTAAACTACTGATAATTCATATAAGTAGTCATTAGTTTAATCCATTTTTTGAAAGCCATTTCTCACTACATCGCCAAAATTCCTCACACTGGTATTATCAACAATTTATGCGTATAAGTAAATAGCACCGAACTGCTCAAACTTATCAAACTGTCATATGAAATGTTTGTGAAAGCCCCTAGATCTTCTAAAAGATAGACAACGACGAACATCTTATCATGTAATGTACACGTTTAGTAAGACTTGAAAATTGTTCTAGTGCCCAAAGTGACTGACTACGGGATGAAGCTGGCTGAAGTTTTAATGAGAAGTCATGACCAGCTGTGTCCACTAAGTTGTGCGTGTGTGCTAGAAGACAAGTACTCGCTGTTAACACTGGCTGGTGATCGTGCCATATATAAATCACGATTTCACAGAAGTAAGAATTCAAGGGCCAATGAATTCTGCCCCACTGGATGAATAATTTTGTGCTGTCCTCGTAATTTGAAGGTCCTTAGTTCGACTCCTGATTTACATACCTATGGACATGTACTGCTGTGGAGCCTAGAACTAGGACGAAACAGCTGACTGTCCAGTATTCTCTGCCAGTTTCCAATGGTTCCCTAACTGATATCAATCTGTGATCAAATTTACTAATATAAAATTAATCGTACCATTAAACAAATTTTGATAAGGTTATTAGAAGATGGAGTGTATCTGAAAAAGCATGTAACATAACTGTGCAGTACATTTCAGTCAATCTGGCCAAATATTTACTTGTTAAATCAAGTGACATATGAAAAAATCCAAAGCCAGTTAAAATAAACAAAATGGGGTACAACAGGTCGCGTATGAGGACAAATACCCGCGATCGATGACATTCGCTAGTGCCAGTCACGCCATATCATGAATTGGCAAAAGTTAGAATTCATGTGTTGTCCATTTAATCGGGTCCCAGTGGCTTCATGGTCTATGAGCTCGCCTCATAACCAGAAGGTCCCGGGTTCGACCACTGGTGGTGGGTGAATACTGATACAGAGTCCCAAACTGGGATGAAACAGCTGTCCAGTACTCCCAGCTGGTTTTCCAGTGGTCTTCTAACCGATGTCAGCTCATGATGAATTAACACTTCTTTTGGTAAGGGCTACCAGGATGGATTATGATTCACAATTAATTGTCTTCATACAATCAAGGAAACAAGGGTATTAATTTCCCAGATAGCTATCACATTAACATATTTCATTTAGTACCCCTGACGGTTTTTATAGGTTGTCTCGATAGCTATTTTGATATCAATCTTGGGATTCATATCAACTAAGCGTTTTGCTGTAGACAAAGTTTATAGTCTCCCACAATTCAGTTGTTTTTCAAGCCATCTGGGTATGCATTTTCCCACCCTAGTGTGAAAAGTACGATTATTCCTCCCTATGTAAGCGTAACCACACACACATACACACACATGCAAATTGTTATACAGTATGGGATGTGATGTGATCACTTGTACAATAGTAAGGCTGGTATTAGAGCATTTTTTTCAGCTTATTCGACAACTATACACCTGGCTGCGTAGTAAGTTTCGCGGAAGACAGAGTTTCTTCAGTGTAAGTCAATCAAATGTAGATATGTTTCTTCTGGGGCGGAAAGACTGTAGACTTTTGAAAATAATTAACCCCTACACTAGTTGAAAAACTTAAAAGGATATCCATTTTCGACAGGTAAACTCGTCAACATATTTATTCTCAACATCTATAACAAGATCTTCTCTACTCCGAAATCAGTGTGGAATTGTACTACACTCAGCATAAAAAATAAACAAGAAATTCACACGCACACCTCTTCCTCAAATCCCTTTTGCATAAAGAAAAATATCTTATTATTTTTATTCTTTCGGGTTCCGAGTGGGACGTAGTACTTCAATAACACATCGCCACCTTCTTCTATTTTCTGATGTCCTCTTCGTCAGCTGGCTAGCTCTACGATTGACCATAATCTGTCTTCTCCTCCCCCATCTACTCACACGATCTCCTCTATGTCACCCTCACAGCAACGACCAACTCGTTGCTTCCCACTACACTTCCACTCGAGCAATGGCCTGCATTGAGTGCAATGGCATTCGACAGCCTCCTCAGTGGCGTATGCCTGATCAATTTTCTCCATTTTCTCCTACATATTTGTCGAGCCATAGGCTCAGCCAGACTTTTTGTTGCTAATTCTTTCTGGCCCGCCTTCTGGCCATTTGATCTTCAGTATGGAACCAGCCAGCGAAGTGGGCAACTGCGTGACCCACGCGCGGTGCAAGTTTCCAGCCTGTACAGAAGAACTGACTGCCTGACTTCATATTTGTGTTCAACGGAATCTGAATCTTGTTTTTTATTCTGTCTGAGTGAGTGAAGCAGAAGATATCCAAACAGACTGGTTTCAAGTTGATGAAAGCGTACCTTGCCTTTCCGATTCTGGCTGGCTGACTGGCTTTAACATCTTCATCCATGGTATCCATTTGTAGTTGAAATCATACTTCCTAGTCAGATAAGTGAAGACAGGAAATAACTTCTGTCAAATCTCTCCCATTGAAGGTGATTGGTGCCGGCTGTTGTTTTGTAGTGACAGTTGGTTGTCTTCACCACCTCCATATTCTCCATGTTCACCTGGAGTCCTGTGTTCGCTGCCTCTCTCGTGTTTTCAGCCAGTTTGTTGCTTTTTGCCTGCAAGTTTTCGAGTTTGTGGGTGTGCTATTATTCGTGAATCAGCCACACGTGATTCGTGCAGTGTATTGCTGTCTTCTTACTCCATGTGCACAGTCTGACGCATAATCCAGTTCACCATGACACTCAGAAATATCATCGTGGTTGATAATAAGCAGCCAACCTTGTTTTATTCCTGTATTTATATTTTTTTTTTTATATTTTTATTTACAGCTTGATTCCACACCGTATTTTCAGTACAAGTGTGGAATTTTCAGCATGGATATCGGTAGCCCAAATTCAGGCCGACCATAGATATCGGGTGTGCGCCGGCAGGGGATCGAACCCCGGACCATGTGCATGGTCGGCGAGAGTCCTAACCACTGTGCCACCGACGCACAAACGTTTCACTGAGTTTTCTGTTGTGGATCGCCTGACATGTGGTAGGCGTTGTCATACAGCCAGCTGTTGAATGAGGTTGATAAAGACTTGGGGTGTTGCATGCCATAGTGTTGAAGCAGTTTACAAATTAATTCTTGGTCAACGTTGTCTGTCGAAGGCCTTTTCAAAGTTGATGAATTTGAAGTAGACTTTTGACTACCTTTCTATGCTTTGTTCGACAATGATAACAATGCCCAGAGTTGCAATCTGATCCGTACATGATTTGTCTTACCTGAATCTATCTTGTTCCTGTGGGCGAAGTTCTGCTTCCAGTGCATTTATTAATCTCTCCAGGATGACGCGAAAAGGAAAAATATTTTCAATAATAATGTCAAATTTGACAGTGCTTCTACTTCACCTCACTAAAAATATTTTCAACAGGCTACTATTGATTTTCAACAACAGCTGTCTTCGCTAGCTCGATGTCGAATATCAGACGACTAGCCAGAAAGGATTAGCAGCATGAAACCCTTGAAGGCAGAAAACCCACCAGGAACCTACCACCTAGTAAATATGTAGAAAGAACTAGAGGTAGACTGGTCACAAGTTGAGTAGTCGGCTGAGTGACATCATGCCCCAGGCCAAACTCTTGAATGGAACCCTAATATGAGACGATGAGTGAGTTGATACTCCGAAGGTGATCGACAGTAGATCTCACAGGTAGGAGACAAAAATTTACGGCTGATTGTGGACACAGATGTCAAGATCCTAAAATAACCGAGGTGTAATAAAGACATACTATTAAAGCCCTATATTCCATTCGGAACCCAAGAAGAATAACAATAATAATGGCTTTATTCCAAACAGTAAGTATCTTTGACACAATGCAGAATTGTCAGTATACCCCTCCCCTCCCCTCCCAAGCAATGGGTAGCAAGCTGATATACACTATTAGTTTCTGGACCATAGTTGCAAGGTTTTGTATGTAAGTACTTACATACACACATAGATGTATTTAGTATGTGAACATTTTTACCGTACTAAAACTTATTAATTTTGTGAAATATTTCTTATATGTTGTATATAGAGCAGTCAATCACCATCTGACATGTTTATGTTAGAAACTGAGTTTATGAGTGATTAACTACTGCTCTCAACACACCAGTGTAATAAACCAGTGGTAAATCTGTCACAGTTGGATTCCACTCATCTTGAAAACACACACACACCACATTCACGTGTTTCTTTTTGTTAGTTACACTCATAAGAATGTAACAGAACTTGTGCACGTATTTTAAATTTACCAAAACTATTGATTTCAACTCTATGAAATAAGTGATCTGTTGGTTAGATTACATCACAATTAGTGATAATATTATTAGATGGATGGAGACAATCGTCAGGAATTAGTCCTACCTGACCTAGGTTTCATTCTAGTTGACACTCACCAGTCTGCATGGAGTGTATCTGCAACCTTCAAGGAACTCATGCCACTCAGTGCTGCATTTCGCCCTATCTGGGACTCGTTAACTGTATGTACCTGGATTCCCAAATTAGTGATACTCTTCCTCCTACCCCCCCCCCGAGACTCGAACACAGGACCCATTGCCTTAGACACCAAAGCGTTGTTCGCTATGTCGACTCGTAGTACGGATTCTGTGACAACGTCTGAGTTTTTCACTTGAAGTATTCTAGTGGATGGTGGTGACTAGTAGTGGAATCCAAGTCACATAATTGTCTATTCACATTTTATCTTATGTTCTTAATGACTGTACGTCTCATATACATTTCACTGACAGTCAAAATCACGTGATTCCAGTATCGGATGCAATTTTGATTTGAATAAAGAAAGAATGAACACATATTGGCAGACAAGATAATAGGAGATCGTTTCATCTCGTCGATTCTCTCTCTCCAACTGTGTTGTACATCCTAAACAAAATCAATTATATTTAACAAAAGGGTTTCTGAACATACTTTTTATTACAATGACTTCAAGTTATAGATGGAAAGTATTAGCAACATAATTTCAGAGATGATGTAAGTAGTTGAATTATTTAGTGTTAAAAGAGTAACTGTTTATATTAGAAATTAGACAAACGGGTGGAATTCAGATTTGTCGTGGAGAGAAGGATAGACTAGAGACAAAATGCAGGATAGAACAAGAGAATTAATTTATACATATTATGGTGGAGAGTTCCGGAGGAAGGTGGTGAGCCTGAATAGTGAAATAAAATTATAAAATATATTAAACAACTTAATTCAGTAGATTTGTGGAACCTTAATAGTGAGTTCAACTCAGTCAGTGAGTGAAAATCAAAATCAAGATTGAGTGGAATGTTATGTAGGCAACAGAACAAAATACAAAAGCACACGAACAAAACAAAACAACTATGGTTACCATGTGGGATAGTGAAAGATTGGTCACACGCTCTTTCTGTATGATGGCAGTGGCTTCTGTGAACCTAAGTAACCATGTTTTTCTTTGTGTGTTGATTGCTTATTTTGAAAGCCTGACTGATTTCCACTGTATGTCCCGTGTCAGTCAATTAGGTGCCTGGCGATTATATTTGATAACACTTTGCTGCCTTTCATCAAACGGAGACTTTTACGATATGCCCGAAGAAGGTTCCAAATCTTTTCCTTTACGATCCCAGTGGAACATAGGTCACTTTGAAGCTAGACGCTTTAAGTTTCTGTAGCAGTGGAGTTTTATTTTTACGCGATGCGGTTGTTAGCTTCATGTCCAACCTTCCCTCTTTATCAGACTAATTATTGAATTAGCGAGGCAAAGGAGTTCGTCGATGGCCGAAGATCGAACCTCTGACCACATGCGGGGTTGGCGAGCATTCTACCGCTATGCTACCGACGCAATAGGTTCCAAATCTACTGAATTAAATTATTTTATCTATTTTATAATTTTACTGCACTACTCACCCCACCAGCTTCCTCCTGGACTCTCCACCATAATTTGCATAAATTCATTCTGTTATTCTATCGTGTATTTTGTCTCTAGTCTGTCCTAGAGAAATCTGAATTCCACCCATCTGTCTAAATATTATGTGAATAGGCAGTCTTTTAGCACACTAGATAATTGTCTACTTACATCATCTTTGAAATTATGCTACTTATACTTTCTATCCATAAATTGAAGTCACTGTAATAAGAAGTATGTTCATAAACCCTTTTGTAACTTATAATTGATTTTGTTTAGTATGTAGGCAGTTGAAGAGAGATAATTGACTAGATGAAACGATCTCGTATTATCCTGTCTGCAAATATGTGTTCGTTCTTTCTTTATTCAAACTAATAAGGGGAACCGGCTGTATGAAATAATTTTGATTTGTCTTTTCTGGTGCTGTTGCATTCAGACATTCATCGATCTATTAACCGCAGAACCTGCAGTAGAGGAAGTTACTAAAAACGAATTTTCCTGTTCTTAAACTATATTCTACAGTTGTTGCATTTTGTACAGTTAACCACATGACTTTCACAGCCCTGCTACCCTAACCATCAAAACGATTCACCTGTTCACCTTACCTGTTACCTGTTTTATCTGTGAATGTCAGTGAATTCCAAGCCAAGTGACTAGGTGGTCGATGAGCTTGCAGCCGTAACCTGAAGGTCCCGGGTTCGATCCCTGGTTGGGTTGTTGGTCCCCAACCCTGATGAAGAATCCCAGACTAGGATGAAACAGGCTAGCCGTCCAGTGCACTCCCCCCTGATGGTTCTCATTGATCTCTCTCTAACGGATCTACACAGAAGTTGATCCAAATCCCTTAATCAAAAGCTCTGAATGTATTTAAACGGAATGCCTGACGAGACAATCAAATATCTACATATATATAATGCATTGATCTCACCAAAGACTTTAAACACTCTATTATTGTTATTATTATTATTACTATTATTATTATTATTACTACTCCCAACCAGGTCAAGCAAACAGAAGTAACCATTCGTGTTTCACACGAAGGATTAACAGTTACAGACAACTGGAGAAAATTATTTTTTCGGCGCAACTATCCATTTCATTCAGTTTCATTTTGTGCTATTGATCCATGTCAAAGATGGTAAGTATCACTTTTGTTCTGTAATACAGTGTATTCATTCTACATTTTTGGGCTGTCAGGGAGTAGAACTGTGTTGTGGGCTAAGTTCAAATATTACGACTTAGGAGTGCGAATGCTTCGATAACTTTGAACTCATGCTAGTCATCGGATAACTGGACTTGTTATTATTACAGCGTTAATATGAACGCTATTCACCAGCTAAGGAGCAAATTTTACTTTGGTCATGTTTTAAAGTATTGTTTGGACAATGGATTGATATTATTATGATTATTTATTGTTTCCTTTAATTCCTAGAGGAACATAGGGCTTCAGTCGTGCGACTCCATTGCATTCGGTTCTCTGCTAGAGTCCTCACCTGGCTCCAAGTCAACCTTGCAATGACGACCAACTCGCCGCTTCCCTTTCGGGTTTCACTTGAGCAATGGCTTGTCTAGGGATGTCACTTGATGGTTTCCTCAGAGTATGGCCAATCCACCTCCATTTCTTCCTGCTTATTTGTTTCACAATCGGTTCCTGCTGAGTTGGTTCGCTCCTAGAGATCCCTTCCTTTTGATGATCTTTTCTGGCCATCTGATCTTGAGTAGTATTGAGCGAAGACAACTGTTAATGAAGGTCTGTAGTTTGTTTGAGATGCTCTTTTTGACGCGCAGTGCAAGTCTCTGATCCGTATAGTAGCATCGACTGACTTCACATTGGAGTTGAAAATCCGGATCTTATTTTTGATGCTGAGTGTTGTTGACCTACACACAGACTTGAGAGTAGTGAAAGCTTCCGTCGGCCTGTAGTTGAAACGATACTTCCCAGGTAGGTAGGTGGAAGAAGTTGCTTCTTTCAGGTTCCTTCCATTTATGCTGATTGTTATCTGTTGTTGTTGTTGCTGTTGGTGGTGTTGCCCAGGAATCTTCATCACCACTTTTTTCTCTATGTTCACCTGAAGTCCTATCTTCTCTGGATGCTTCTTCTGCCAACTTGTTGCTTTTCGCTTGCATGTCTTCCAGTTTGTGTGAAATCAGACATATATCATTGGCGAAGTCCAGATCCTCCAAGTTTTTTGTGTGAGTCCATTTTTATGCCTGTTTCATCGCTGCCCGCTCTCAGTCGCATTATCCAATCTACTGCAATCAGGGAAATCATTGGCGATAGTAGGCAGCCTTGTCTTACTCCCGTCTTCACTTCGAAAGATTCCGTAAGTTTCCCATTGTGGATTACTCGGCATGAAGCATTGTCGTACAGCTGTTGGATGAGATGTATAACTGTCGATGGCACCTCGTAGTAGCGAAGTAGTTGCCAAAGCACCTCTCGATCAACGCTGTCGAAGGCTTTTTCAAAATCGATGAAGTTGAAATAGAGATTGATATTGCATAGCCGAAAATTTTCTTCCGTGTACCTGTAGCGGTGTTCAGAAGCCGGTAATGGATATGCATTTAGGTGTACAGAGTGTAGGAAACGAATGAGTGTTCGTACAAGTAGGTTACACCCTCAGTCCACTGTTTTCTAGGAACTTTCTTTGTTAAATCGAAACTGCCTTTGATGAATATACTGGATATTAAAGTCCACAGAGAGATTAACGGCAGCGGAGACTGAAACCACCTTTGTGTCTGCTTTACAGTAGTTCCAACATTGCATAGATATAGTGTTCTGAAAGTTGAATAATGTTACCCAGCTGTAAGGAGGAGTTGGTGTGACTGTTCACAATGATGAAACAGTTCTTATAAAGACCTCGGTCGTTCTAGGGTTAACAATGTTTGGTACTGGGTATTTATGACACCAAACTACAGAAGGGGATAATGTAGGTGATTCGAGATCGTAGTACCAACACCGTTCTACCCATTATTCAAAGACCAGTCATCTCTGGCACTACTGTCCACACTGACAAATGGACGGGCGGGATAAAACCGCTTATCAGATTTGAGATAATACCATCATCGAGTTAATCATTCGGATGACTTCATCGGCCCCATAACTGGCACTCATACCAGTTCAATGGAGAGCTTCTAGGGTGGTTTGAAAAAAAAACAGGATAAAAGTAATAAACGGCTCGCCATCATGAATACCTCTAGAGAAATTTGTTCAACTTAAGGTGAAGTTAAACTATTAAATGGTTGGAGGCAATTGGCATGAAGCGCTGCTTGATCTAAGTTTCATAATTGTTGCCACTCGCCAGTCAGCAGAGAGTGCATCTTCAATCTTCAAGGAACTCATGTACCTCCTGAGACTCGAACCCGTGTCACCATCAAGTGATGCAGTCAAATACTTGACCACTAAGATATTAGGGTTCGTGAATGACCTGCTGTAGGATGGCTAGCGCGGCTGCATTGCAAGCTCTACTGTAACAGAATTTGGTCTACACCAAACAAAGGAATACACGCATGATAATAGTTACTATTTAGTGTCCATTTGAAGTTCAACTATGTCGGACGCCACTGAGTACCTTCTAAACAACCATGAACAACTAATCACGGCGTGAGTCGGCGGTTCAACGGTGGAATAATCTCCAACCAATCACTTGATCTAGGGCCCATTTCCAGGCTGACTCATCTCTACACCTCGCCTAGTTTACTTGCCGATATTAAGCGGAGAAAATAGGGAAGATTGAAAGTAAGGCTAGCAAACCCACCCCACCCTCATAAAAACAACACTACTACTTCTGAGCTCAGAATGTAAGGAATGAAGGACAAGTAGAATTAATTACAGTAAAGTGACGTTAAGACAGGTAAATTTTTGATGGGGATTATCTGTATTCCCATGCACTGGATACAGAACTCCGCCATACAGGAACAAGCTGGATTCAGGAAAGGCAAATCTAGTGCTGATCAAATTGCAACTCCACGCATCATCATCAAACAAAGCATAAAATAGCAGTCAAACCTGTCTCTACCTCAGCTTCATCGAATTCGGAAAGGCCTTCGGCAGACAGCGTTGATCGAGAAGTAATTTGGAAACTACTTCAACACTGTGGAGCGCAGTACCCCAAATTTCTTTCAACCTCATTCAACGACTGGCTATTTAATAATGCCTGCCAAGTGTCAGGTGATTCACAACAGAAAACTCAGCTAGGTGTTCGAAGTGGAGACAAGAGTATGACAAGGTTGGCTGCCTATTATCACTAATAATGATATTCTTAATTGTGGTGTACTGGATCATGCATCAGATAGTGGGTAGCGAGAAAACGCTGCACCAATCACGGATGATTTATGTTTAATGTCACCCACACAAACTCATACACTTGCAGGTGAATATGTAGAAGAAGGAGGTGATGAAGATAATCAACCACTGCCAACAGCAACAACAGCGAGAGCCAATCACCATCAACAAGAGAGACTTCACATAGGTCAGTCACTTCCTTCAGCTATTTGGCTAGGAAGCACGCTTTCAACCACAGGCATCCGGAACGGATGAAGATGTCAAAGCAGACCAGCCAGAATCAGAAAGGCAAGATACGCCTTCATCAATGTGAAACCAGTTTGGAAATCTTGTGCACTCCGCAGCACAAACAATAAGATTTGGATTCTGCTCAACACAAATGTGAAGTCAGTCAGTCAGTTCTTCTATACAGGTCAGAAACGTGCACTGCGCGTGGGTCACGAAGAGCATTTCCAACAGGCTAGTGCACATTTTTATCGACAGCTACCCACTTCAATGGGTCCATACTGAAGCCTAAATGGCTGAATGGCCGGTCAAAAAGAATTAGCAGCAGGAAACTCTGTCTGTGAACAAACCAACTAGCAAGAGCCGATCGCTGAAAAAATATGTAGGAGAAAGTGGAGATTGATTGATCAGAAATATGCCGTTGAGGAGGCTGTCGAATGACATCGTGCGCAATGCAGGTCATTCATCACTCGAGTGGAACCAGAATGAGAAGCGATAAGTGGGTCCTCATTGCGAAGCTGATATGGAGGAGATCGTGTGATGGGGAGGACCCAGCCGAAGAGAACAGCAGAGAATAGAAGAAAGTGGATATGTGTTGTCGAAGTCCTGTGTTTCACTTGGAAGCCAAGGAAATAATAATATAATCTGTATTCTCACATATACAGACGACAACATTATTCCTCCGTAATTACTGTAAAATAATGTTCCCCAGTTAGATAATCGATTATCTAGTGAAAGTTAACAAACGGGGATTCATAACGGACTATGAATTCAATACATGACATGTACAGTATTTATGATAAATGATGAGATCAGTTGCTTATGGATCATACTGGAGGTTCTTCGGTTGAATTGTTCGTATTAATTGCTGCCTAGTATTTTTATTCTCACTCAGAGAGATCTGTGCATGAAGATCCTAGTTTAAGTGGATAACAGTCAGTGAAATGTGATCGCTTACTCCTTAATAACTGACATGAAAAGAAGATTAACTCGTTGTGGAGGGACACCTGTAAGGGACTCGAACCTGTAGCATCGTGTTTCCCTTTCATATGATACACTGAAACAGTCTCAACAAAAAGATTTACACGAATATACTACAGTCGCAACTTATTTCTGTAGATTATCGATCGAACAAGCATTACACACTATGATGAACTGTTCAGTGTCCAGTAGTCGAATTTGTTTTAGTAGATTAAAAATCATTTCTCAAGCGCCTATTTCAAATGATTAGGAATTTATCAGCACTGGTAAGTATTAAAGTATTCGTAAAGTGTTTTCATGCATAGTATAGCAAACGGGACGACACCTACTCTAATCTGATGACATTAGATGGTTGGAGGCAATCGGTAGGAAGTCCTACCTGACCTATGTTACGCACTAGTGAACACTCACCAGTCAGCAAGGCGTATCTGCAACCTTGAAGGAACTGATGTCCCTTCTGAGATTCTAACTTGCATCACCCAGTGCTGCAGTCAGAGACGTTACCACTGAGCTAGCCATTTGGATTCGTGATTGACCTCCTGTAGGACTATAATAGATACTTTGATTGCCTCCAACCATCTAACATCAAAAATTCAAAGTGCACCGTGATAGCAAACTACCTAGAATGGTGACTGCAATGCTAACCTGAC